AGTTCATGTCAGAAGATATAAATAGTCAACAGCACGTACCTGCATATCCATCAAGACGACATCGACGTCTTTGGAGTTATCGCAGTATGCAGATGCGCATTCTTCACCATTCACGGTAAGGTGAACGTGGTGTCCAAGCTTCTCCAGCCGCTTCTTAACAATCCTGCTATTCACCGGATCGTCTTCGGCAACAAGCACATGCATATTGTCAGCTGATAAAGGTTCGGGTTCAGCAGCCGGCTGTACAGGCTCTTCTTCAGCAACCTCGCCGAGTATGTTTCCAGGTGGGCGGACGCCAATTGGAGAGCTGCCGCCTTCATCGGGAACCTTCAAGGCCACGATAGGAGCATCGGAACCGGGAATTGTCTCTTCACCAGGTACCCTTGATTGCATAGTCCTTTGATGAGGCGGAACAACGGTCTGGCTACTAAAGTCTTCGAGACTTTTGGACCTCCTACGAGCAGCGGCTGATGTATCCGGATCTAGACTGCTGCGTTTCATTAAAGTCGGCCTCATAGATCGCGAGCCTGGACTTGCGTCACCTCTCCCAATCAAGTGTGGCTCTTGTATGGCGTCAATAAGTCTGTCCACATCGCTTCTTTGACTCGAGCTAGTCTTGAAACTTCGCAGGCTATTCTTACTCGTCAAACTCCCAGTACTAGTCTTCCGTACGACAACATGGCTTGTCTGTTTGTCGTCTTCGTCTGCAGAACCTTGGCGAGACAGACTTGGCGCTATCAACGTCCGCTCTCCAGCAGTGGGACTGGCAATGTTAGGTATAGGCTCTTCGGCGTGAGGCGTAACGCTTCCTGCAGGTGAGGCTCCGCCAGTGGTAACGCTATCTGCCTCAGAGTCTGGAATATCGAACGGTAACTGTATGACAAATCTTGTGCCTTTGCCTTCCTCTGAGCGTAACCTTAGCTGTCCATTCATGTTTTTGATGATACGTCCTACAATGGCTAGCCCAAGACCCAACGTCGATTTTTCACCTTGTTCCGCAAGCTTCTTCTGATCTGGTATCAAGGCATCCTCTAGCATGGAGGCAGGCTCAGACTGCACTTGTTCGAGGTCATTGAAAAGCTGATCAAGCTTCTTCTGGCTCATGCCAGCACCTGTGTCAGATACTGCCACTTCAACATCAACGTGGTCTCGACCCGTCCTGGCTGCAACGTATGCTTCAACCTTTACACATCCTTGAGTGGTGTGCTGAATTGCGTTGGCTGTAATGTTGGAAATGGCCTGCCGTATTCGCCGCTGATCTCCAATACAGTGATTAGGCAAGCCTGAATGTTGAATGATTTGATAGTCGATGTTCTTTCTTTTAGCGTCATTGCGAAACATATCTGTGGCCTCCCTAATGGTGTCTTTGAGATCAAACAGCTCGCCCTTGACAAGGGGTCCGCCCTCTTCAGTCTTGGTCAAATCGAGAAGATCGTTGATTACGTAGATGAGTGATTTAGATGCCGAATGAGACCGAGAGAGGTTCTCTCGTGTTTCTGTATCCAGAGCCCCTTCTAGCGCTATCTCCAGGTAGTTGATGATGGCGTTTAGTGGTGTACGGACTTCATGTGCCGAGTTTGCAAGCAACAACCGGGTCAGCTGACTGCTTTGTAGAGCAGCTTCCTTTTGCCTCCATACTTCAATGAATTTTCCATAGACCAAACAGAGCACGGAAGCAGTTTCTATCTCTTCCTCTGTCCACTCCCGGCACTTGCCAACAACTGTCTCAGACCAGGTCTTGAAGCTCTTTCGTGGCTCCAGATAACCCTCGGTGCCTTCCTTGACATATTTTTCATAAGGGTTGCCAGCCCATTTGACTTGTCTAAGTTGTCCCTTTCGGAAAAAGACAATAAAGTCCTCGCCATCGACGGACAATGGAACTATCAGCATTCCGGCAATGGCATGGAAACCTGGCGGATACCGCAAGTCCGGAAAGTCCGAGGCAATGTCGGTGGAAGTCATTACGGCCTGGATCCTCCTCATCCTGAGGTACTCTAACATGGCGAGAGATTCCTGTGAATTTTCGAGAGTGCCCAAAATCTTAGTCTCATCGCGGATCGACAACAGGCCAAAGTCTGCGTTGAAAAGTTTGAGGAGATCGTCAGAGGAGGCGATGATGTACCCCGAGGGATTGTGCTGTGTTGGTACTGTGTTGATCAACTTGCGTGCTTGTAATCTCGATGCGTACGACAGCCTTTCGATATTTCTTGATGCTGAATCACCGATCATCCGACACATTTTACGAATGGGAAAAGAGACGCGCATGCCACGAGGCCCGTACGTATGGCACGCAATAAGGCCCCACAATTCGCCAAAAGCATTAATCGAAATCGACATTGACGATCGCACCGCCATGTTTGCGAGGTACTTTAGGTGAATCGGAGACATGGCGCGAAGGTATGAGTGGGTAAGATCGAGGGGTACCTCCAAATCTTCGGCCGTACGGCAGACTAGTCGTGCCGTTTGTAGGTCGCGATCGTATAGCATGCGGACTTTGTTGATCTTGTACAGCTCTCGAGCTTGTTTGGGTATATCCGAGGCAGGGAAGTTTAAGCCCTTGTAGAGATCCTTTGTCGCTCGAGGATCTACAAGCTCGGTGACGACACGGCCATTGAAGCTCTGATCGAATTGATAGATCATGACGCGATGGAAGCCGGTCAACTCTTTGATGACTCCAACTAACACCTTTAGAAATTTTTCTAATGAGGGCGCAGCAGCCAATTGCTCTTGCACCTGCGACAAGATATTGAAGACCTCCATAGCCGCTGCTTCACCCTTTCTTTTCCGTGCACTGCGCAGGATTCGTAAAGGCCTACTTTTGATCTCTGTGCTTTCCAAGAATTCATCAGCAGTAGGCTGACTGGACAAGGTATCTTCGGGTAGGTCAGGCGTGTTGTTGTTGGGCGGCACGAGTGGGTAGAGTGGGTCTTCCTCAAGCTCGAATTCACAAATAAATAGACCAGGGTTGGCCTCGTTCATGTGAATTGCGCACCATAGCTTGCGGGTTCGAGTGTGGCCTGCGATCTTGATGGACATGGTGAAGACCTCAGGTCCGTTAGACATGACGTTGGACTCTTCATCCTTGACAAAGTCGATGTGGTCAAGAAGGTTGTCGGCTTGCTCTTCGGAGAGGATATCTGTAAAGCTTTCAAGAGCGAATAGCTCCTTTGGAGTACGCCCTAGTATCCGCTTGGAATTCTCACTGACAATACGCACCTGCAGATTGCCATCGGGGTCATCTCGTAATGCTACCAAGAGGCCAAAGCCCTGTACAGCGCCTGGTAGATGGATGGGCTCGTCTTCGCACCGTTGTAGCGTCTCACCTTCACGCCCTGTTATGACCATGTGACCGCCCTCAGTGGAGACGTGCTTGAACCGGTGTGTGACCAAGTCACCCATGTCCATGCTGCTGATGCCACTCTTTATTGAAGGCGCTTGTTCGGGTTTGAAGGATGGCGACCGGCTGTCATCGTTTACGCTCCCATTGGATTTATTTGACGACATGTCGTTGAAAAGCTGTGAGGGTAAAGGTTGTCCGCCTCTCTGCGCCGTCTTGCCTGGTCCATGGCGCATGGCCCACGCACGTTGCGACGCATGTGAGGATTGCGATGTGAGGGAGCCCTGAGAGGCTCGGCGGGTATCGGTGGCAAGGCGAGGGTCATTTGCTCGGGAGTAGGGGTGGAAGTAGTCACCTTGTGCATTCTGACCTTTGGGCGTGGGACTAGGGTCAACGCTAATTGCACTGCGGATAGGGAAGACACGGTCGTTGGCAGAGGGGCTGAGGGGACCTGTTGTCTCAGTAGTGGAGGCGCGCGACCTTTGGCTAGGTTGTGTGGTAGCAAAGTCGATGGCGTCGGTGGCGGCAGATGACAATGGCGGCTCTTCTGGCACTGGAGAGACAGTGGAGAATTGGTGGTGACCGTTGTCGAGGGAAGAGGGTCCATCCTGGGGAATCTGACCCGATGATTGAGACATGGAGGCGCTGCAGCAGTCGTGGGCCATCTCTTATTGCAGATGAAGCGTAGACGAGGGCTGGCAAGGCGAAGTGGTCCCTTGAACCCCAGTTGGCCGCTAGGAATACAAGAACACCGGCACACGGTCGAGACTGGGGCGCTTCAACCGTCCATGGGCCTTCTAGCGAGGAATGAGGCGTGGGGATAATATTCAAGGAGGGCGTGGGAGGGTCGCGCCTTGACTTGGCGTTATGCAGGGACCGGTGAACAGGTGACGAGGGCGAAAGTGATGACGACGGGACTGATAGTAGCTAACAGAAGACCCCTTTTTGATTTTGTCGTCGTCGTGGCCGGGGTAGGGTAGGGCCGGCAGGCGCATCAAATTGGGCAGTGTTGCTGCTGAAGGTGGAGGGTGCGGGGGCGGCGAGGAAATCTGGACCTTTGGAGGAAACAGGGTAGCAGGCAAGGACAAAGATTAGATGTTGACGGCGGGCGGGAGGCGACAGCAGCACCAGCACCAGCACCAGCACCAGCAGACAGGGCTCCTACGAGTAGCTGGGGCGGCGCATGCACAGTGAAGCAGAGGACGTCAGTGTCGTACTACAGGCGAAGCTGGACAACAGTCATAACCGGCTGGACAGAGACTTGGACGGCCTGGTGCACGCCCTGGCGCGTCGATCGCCGCCGGCTTTGGGGATAGCTGGCGCATATCTGGGATCTACAATTTAAGCCTAGTGCAGCATAGCGCAGGCAGAGGACGGGCGAGGCGTGAAAAGCTCTGGTGTGGCCAAGTGGTGCGCAAGCATGGCTTTTTGGCGACAATTGCATGCTGGTGTCGCCACGACCCACCCACCGCCCATGCGGCTGTGCTTGCCTTGCCACCAGGCGCCATATGACGTCACCCTTCCGCCTCTTGCGTCGGAGTGCGGCCTGCTTCCCCCGATGCCCGGCCGGACCGGAACAAGTGTCTCGCCGTTGCTGAGTGCACGTGACGGTCACCACCATTGCCCATGTCCATGTCCTGCCCATGTTCTGCCCGTCCTGCCCGCCCTGCCCGCCCTGGCCCATCCACGTACTTACTACATGCACATACACATGCTACACCTGCTGTTGCGCCCACGTCCCATAACCTCCTCGCCATAAACCCTTCCCATGTTCATGACACCCCTTCGCCCTCTCTGCCACATGCATCAGACTAGATAGCCACGAGGGCCCGGTGGGGCTGCGGCCAATGGCGGGTTAACACACTCCCTCTGCCACTGCCCTTTGTCCTGTTCACCGCAACCCCAAAACACACACCCTCCCTTCTCCAATGGCAACGCAATCACCAGCCCGGGCCCTTAATGTCCTCGTCGCCCTGACAGACCCCTCGGCCTTCCGCTTTGGCTGCTCCATCGTCGCCCGTCTGCACCGTCTCGACAATGTCTCTCTAAAGGTCATTGCCTGCAAAGAATTCTCAGCCGCCGCCCAGACAACCATTCCTCCGCAACTCGAGCCGCTATGGCACACATACACGCCTGACGGCACTGCGCCGCCCGACTGGCAGCATGCCGACTACCTCGACACATGCGTTGCCGACTATTGCACCTGGGCAGACCTGTTGGTCCTTGCGCCACTCAATGCAGAGAACCTGGCGCGCATGCTCCATGGCTTCACAACCAGCCTGCACCTGCAGCTTCTGCGCAGCTGGAATGTGTCCAAGAAGATACTGCTCATACCCGCAATGTCAACACTGATGTGGGAGAATCCCATGTCGCGGAAACAGATCAGCAAGATCCGACGCAAGTGGAATTGGATCCGCGTCTTGCCCCCCTTCCTGTGGTCGTTTGATCACTCCGGCCGCAAATATCAGTCGTGGATAGAAGGCCACAAAGCTTTCAACGAATCCATCCAGACTCAGATCGATCTCATGGCTGTAGGCAACCGCACTGTCGCCCTGCCTATTGCCCATCTACCAACACTGACACCTACGAGGAGCAAAGGGCCCCGTCTTCCGCCCGAACTCTGGTCCATCGTCCTTGAATTCACAAAAGACTGGGAACTAGCCACCACTCTCAACGTCCACACAAACTTGTCAATACCCAAAGAATGGCGCCAGGCCGCGAGCGACGAAGGACCGAAGACGCAGATGCAGAAACTCGAGTGGGCCCTGCTCACATATCCATACCCGGACATCAAGAAGGTTTTTGACACGGAAAAGCCGACACGCATATCACGCCTTTGCATTGAACTCATCATGCGCTTTGCCATGGTGCCTGTGCTTGTCCATCTGGAAACATGCCACAAGGATCTTTTCTGGGGAACCTTTGGCCATACGTTCCTTCCTCACAAGGCCTCGGTGTTTGGCAAGACAGAGATTTTGGACTATTGGAGAACGTCGCCTGCTTTCTTGACAAAGGAGTACTCTGACGAGGCCATTGACGATGCGAGCCGTGCTAACTCGGTCCAAGTCCTTGATTGGTGGTACCACTCTGGCCTTGCGCTCAAATACACCGAAGCGGCACTTGAGCAGGCAAGCTCTCAGGGCCATATCCATGTGCTCAAGTGGTGGAAGGAACACAGTCGCCACCGGACTGCCCCTTCTGTCCCCTCTAGCCCAATCGACGAAGACGCCCCTACCAAATCGCATCGCGAGGACCTACCGCTCAAGGTCGGAAAGTCCATCACTTACGCAACACAGTCTGGCTGTTTACCTGCAATTATCTTTTGGGTCGACTCGGGCATCCCCTTCTCCCACGAGGACACGATTGCGAAGATTGCCTCGACCCACGGCCATACTCACATTCTAGACTACTGGCGCAAACTCCGCGGCGAGAAAATTCTTTTTGATAACCAGGTTCTTGTGGGGCCTACTAAAATGGGCCACGCCCACGTACTCGAGTGGTGGAAGCGCAGTGGTTTGAAAGTCGAGTACAAGACATGTGACATAGAAGAGGCCCTGGAAGACGGGGTCGAGGGAGCCAAAGGCGAGGCCGTGAGGAGATGGTGGGCGCTGAACGGACTAAATCTCGGTGTCGGGACGAGCGAGTGGATGAGAGTCAAGGTATTGGGCTCGTGACGATGGCATAGCACAATAAATGAAATTGATCGCATGTCATTTTTCTTTGCTTGTTGCATGTGTGTGTATGCAGTATGCATGCCATCTATTCAAACGAGCGGAAACGGCTACTCAAAGTGAATCGACCGCCCCGCGACCGTCTGATAGGCGTCCCCACGACAAAGGCGCAACAGGGTCTTCTTACCCCTTCGGGCCGGCCTATCAGGAGCGGGAGTCGGCGAGCCAGGTATCCGAGAGCCAATCGGGGGTTCGGGATTTGTCGTCTTGCCTTTTGTCGTAGATTCTTACCTAGAGCCGAGCCCTAAAGCCGCTACGAGAATCGGCAACTTTCTGTACACCGTATCTACTTTTCAACACCTCACCTGCACCATCCGCTTCTGCACTCGCATACCAATTCCCACCCTCGTACCGCACCTACCAAAGTAGATTCGGCAATCTCTACCACCTCCCCGTACACGCTCGCAAATTCTTCATTTCTACAATGGACAAGGTATTCACCTACTCCGATGTTTCCGAACACAACACCAAGAAGGATCTGTACATTGTCGTACATGACAAGGTCTATAATGCTTCGAGCTTTGTAGATGAGCACCCGTACGTTGCCTCCGTTGGACGCTGCACATTATGTTGCGGGTGTCTTTGGTGATGGTTATTGCAGAAGAACCCCACCTTGGACCTCGGTCGTGCTGGCTGCACTTCATCCCCAAGTTTCAGGCAACAAAACAATCGCTGACATTTTGATATCCAGGGGTGGTGAAGAGGTTTTGCTCGATGTCGGAGGCCAGGACTCTACAGAGGCATTCGAGGACGTCGGCCACTCCGACGAGGCTCGCGAGATTCTCGAGGGTCTGTACGTTGGAAAGCTGGAGCGCAAGGTACATCTTGAATTTCCCACCTTCACTTCCCCCCTCCCCCTTTCCTCCGCATCTTTTTTTCTTCAATTCCCGAGACTGGCAACGTATAGCTGGATGTTGCGAATCCCCAGGCAAACGGAAGTTCCGCCAAGCACATGGGGCCTCGGTCCCCGATCGCGGAAAGGCGACATCCGCAATTCCCGGCGGAGACGCTCATGCGGGAATATCTCGGAGCACTTCCCAAAGAGACATCCGTGGACGAACTACCAGACGGTTAACGACAAGGCTTGGCTGACACATCGAATAGGAGGGTGACCCAAAGCCCAAGAGCTACCCAGCGGTTGGTGATACTGCTACTGCTACCGATGGTGCCTCGACTGGCGTCGGCCTTTACGCCATTATTCTCCTCGGTGGAGCCCTTGCCTTTGCCGCCTACACTTTCATGAACAAGCAGTCGGCTGAGTAGAAAGTGATGCTCAGGTAGCAGCCACACATCAGGCAAAGTAAATGAACACACAAAGGAAAGCAAGGGACCGTGAAGGCGATTACGTGTCCTTAAGTGGGGTGGGGAGAGAGCGTGAAGAGGACGTTCAACGTCTCGGTGGGATTTGTAGTAGAAGTGTAGAGTGCATGAGGGCGTTTCTTCAACACATACATGTACATGATCCGAGAGGACTGGACTGGTTTAGGACATCTTTTGTGCCTGGGGCGCAGGCTTTCCGATTTGGAATACATTTATTATACTTTGACTTGCGTTTTTTTTTACCTGGATATGTTGATTCGTTTCTTATGTTCCAACTTGGGATAACTACACTTAAACTCATTCCACCATTTCCGATCCATAAATCATCAAACAACTTTTATTTTACCAGTGAACCCACATGCCCAGATCCAAATCACTCCAAGCCCAAATCATTTGATTTCCACCCCTCCTTTCCCCATTTTGAAATTTCCAATCTTCCTCAAATCATCAACGAGAAAAAAAAGGGTATCATTACTCCAACATGACTGATTAGAAAAACATCTACATGTTTCTAAACACATTACCACTAGCATTCCTCCTTTGTCCGTCTCTCCTCCGATCATGGCGCTGGCCTCCCTCTTCATCCGCATGACTCTGCCTCTTCTTCTGCTTGCGTTCAGGCGCAAATGTGATTTCGCGCTCACCCACCACTGTTGTATTTGATCGGGACGAGGAAGAAGCAGCATGTTTCGAGGGCTTGAGTTTGGAGACGCGGGAGCCGAACGTCTTGTCTTTGGCTGGAGCAGAGGAGCGGTGGTTATTGGAGTTGTTGTGGGAAGATGAGACGTGCATTTCCGGGCCGCGTTGGGAGCGGTGGCCAGATTTCTTGTAGGAGTTGGATGAGATGCGGGTGTCTTGTTGTTGTGATTTCTTTGGTGCTCGGACTCGGTCAGCCTCGGAATCGTCATCACCATCGGAGTCTTCGTCCGAAGATCCCTTTCGGGATTCCAGCTCCTCTTGCTCGGCGGCAGTGAGGCCCTTGGGGATCTTGGTGCTGGGGTTGAGTTGCTGAAACTCGCGGGTTTGCTCGTCGATTTCGAATTCGGGGTCTTCGAACATCTTTGCGAAACGCGGGTCGTTGAGGACACCGCCGGCAGCGGGTTGGGCGCCGTCTTCTTGGACGGCGGGCGCAGCCTGGACCATGTCGTCGTCGCCGCCGTTCTTGAGTACGCGCTTGGCGCGCCTGCGCTCTTGCTCTTCCTGCTTCTCCAACATCTTCTCGGCAAGCTTGCGGTTGACCTTGACGGCCACCTTTTTGCTGCCACGGATTCTGCTTTCGCGCTCCTTGTTGATTTTCTCGGCGATGCTCTTGGCGCGCTGTTCTTGCCAGAGATCTGGGTTCGAGATGAGCCGTGCTTCCTCGTACAGCTTTTGGGCGACAAAGAAACCGTGCATGTACGGACGAAGGAGACTGGTGGTTCCGACAAGGTGGTCGAGTGACAATTGTTTCAGTTGGTCCATGGTCAAGAACTTGAAGTTGTCGTACACGTCTCCCACGGCGCCCTTGCCGAAAGCGTTGGGGTCATTGGGGTCTTCGGCCATTTCTTCCACGATATTGTCGAGAAAATGACACCATCTTGGCGCTGGGCCTAGTTGCGGGATGAAGAAAGAGTGTTGTTGCCTTCCCTCGTTCGCAGTTAGCAGCATGCCGCTCTTGGGTACCCACTCGACATGGTTCAAGTCGACAGACGGCTGTACAGAGGTCCATGGAGTGCCGTCCTTTGCGTCCCAAATCTTGATGACGCGCTGGTCGGCAGTTAGTATCTTTGGCTCGGGTGTCTGTGCGCCATCAAGGTATATGATATTCTTTATGGCAAAGCCATATCCTTGATCCTTTCTCAGCAGCGGCTTAGGAGATCGCAGGTCGTAGAGGTGTGTTATGCCATTGGAGTCTCCGACGGCCATTTCCAGGCCATTCGGGGAAAAGGCAAGGGCAGTCGTCTCTGAGCGGCCCTCGAAAGCGTCCTTGGGAGATGACAAGATACCGACTCGGGTACGGGTGCGCGAATCAAAGTACTCGACAGTGCCCAGTGAGGTGCCCAGTGCCAGTAGGCCGTGCGTCTGTTCTGCAATAGCGCCTGTGTTGACGGCACCAGCGTCGATGCCACCCTGCAGTCCACCCGCAGCTAGGTCGTCGCTGCCGCCCACATCAACTTCGTAACTGCGCATAAAGCGGCCGACCTCGAGGTTCAGCCGGAAGCACTCTCCCATTCCTTCAGCATTGACGCCAACGGACGGCACCAGACACTCGGTGGATCGGCGGTCGTATATGAGGTCGCGGCCATAGCGAGGTATGCGGCTGGCGTAGTGGAGGCCTCCGCCCGTGTGGAACTCGATGCACCGGTCCTGCTGCAAATGAACGCTCTTGGTCGCATCAGACGAGAGTAGGTGGAAGGTTTGGTTCTAGCAGGAGGTCAGCATTTAGTGAAGTGCGATTTGAACATGTGGGATGCATACAAGAGTATTGGTATGGCGCGCAAAGGACAGAGACAGGTGGGGAAGGTAGTGAACATGTATTTGAGGCTTGTATGTTCCGGTGCTCATGACCCAGTCGCCATCCTCGCTGACACGCACACACTGGCTGGCCTCTTCAAACTCAAAATCCTGCAGCAAATCCACACGATTGGCGAATTCGGGGTCGTTTTTCAGACTGCGTTTGCGCTTGCGAATCAGCCATTCGGGCAGGGGACGGGCTTCGCTGCCGCTAATGGTGTAGACGGGCACGTTTCCGGCGGAGATTTTCATGGTGGCGCGACGGAGGGGTAGAAAAGATAAGGTCGCACCGCAAGAGCAACAGACGGAGAAGAAGCAGACGATGAAGAAGTTGGCGCGGGCAAAAAAAGAGCGGGTCCAGCCCACGGGCCAGGACCGGGGCTTCGCGCTCCCACAGCTGCGGACAGCGGGCTATAGATATGGATGGGCATGGCTCTTAGGGCAACGCGCCGCTTGCCGAGCCGCCTTCGCTCCCAGCTGCTCCCCCGACTCCACCACCCCCCAGCAGAACTACATACATCTAGACATAGATACACATCCTGCCTACCTACCGTATCCGGCGTCGCATCGCGGCATACGGTGTCGAGTCCACGCCAGTGTCTGAAACCCTTCACCTCCCTTCCTAAGACGGGCCTATCGCGCATCACCTAATCATCGCCCATCCCCCACCGTCGCCCGGGACCCCCAGCTGCGCCCACACATCCCATCACCGTCGGGGCCGGCCAGCAGCAGCGGTCGCCATGCTCCATCCGCTACACCAGACACCCCAACCAGACCATGCCGGCTTGAGAGACGCCATCTCCCCTTCCACGCCCTCCTCGTTGCTGTAATCGTTGCAGTCGCGCGCGACGCGTCGAGCGGCCCGCAGCGCAGTTGATGGAAAAGGTGTACAGCGCCGTCCTCGGAGTGAAGATACGTCGCGAATACCACCTGAATGTTCCGTAGAGGGCAGCCGTCTCTCTAATGGAATTTCTCAAGACGTGCACAACCAATGCGCAAGCGATAGGAGACTTTGAAGCCATTGCCTACCAAGCCATCTCCGTCACCCGCACCACCACCAATACTACTACTACTACTTCTACCACCTCACCACAATCCTCCAGACAACCACCCCCATCCTGGAGCCCTTCCGAAGACACTCGTGCTGTCGAGGCTGAATTGCGCCATGCTCTCCACCTGGTTGCGCACGACGCCGCGCGCCCCTGGCTCTGGCTGTTTAAGCCGACCACGGTTGACAAGCTAGGCCAAGCCAGTCCCCAGCTGCCAGAACTCGACGGCTACCGCTTGCAACGTCCGTTTTCTCCCTCAGATGACCCTCGTACACATCCCACTGCAATACTGACACTTTCTAGGCGAACACACGGGCGCTATCAAGGCCATCGATCTAGTCCGTCCCCCCATGCGCCCAGGCGCTCCCCACCCACCCGCTACCTCGAATCACACAACCTCAACAAACGCGCCTCAACGAGGCTTACAAAGTGGCAATAATCCAAGACCCGCACAGGGAAGCACGCATCCGCAACCGTCTGCTGACCCACCCCCACCACCTGATTGCTTCACCCTCTATGAGCTCTTCACATCGTCTGTTGTCGCATTGATCTCGTTCCATGTTGTCAAAGACTGCCAAGTGGTAGCTTTGAATTATCGCACATTCGTATCCAAGGCTTCCAAGTGCATTGCTGATGGTCAAACCGAGGTTGACCCCCAACCAGAGGTGCATCGTCTTACCAGTATCAACGTTCACTGGGCTAGCTCAGGCACGCTTTTGCTATCAACCTTTACTGACCGAAAGAACACAATACGTTGCTTGAGCAGCGTCTCGACTCAAACTGAGGAGAGACAGCTTGTTGGCACATGCATCCGTGTAGCACCCAATGGTGTGCTAGCCACCATCATCAGTTTTGAAGATCCCCTAGATTCCATCAACGAGGAAATTAGCATCCGTCACCGGAAACGTACAAAATCAACATCTCTAGAGCAAAATATTGAAAAATGGAAATCGGGTGTCAAGCGTTGGCTAGGCTGGAAAGGCTACGATTTGCCTGACTTAGATCAGAGAACCTCGTGGGTCAGGATTCACACCACGCTGACGCCAAGCCCCATTCTCTCGAGCCCGGTTTCAGTCGGTCCAGAACGGGATATTCTATGGCCACGAGCACTGTGCTTCTTCCACGTTATAAATGAAACGGATCTCACCGTTACGGGAACAAACACCATCGGTGCAGCTGGAAACTCCAACATACTGAGATGGTTCGAGACACCAGAGTCCATGGGTTTCAAGGACCCACTTGATGTTGCGCAAGAGTGGTTTCTGGGAAAGCCGGACCGCGATAAGATTCTTGAAGCACGAAAGAAGGCCAAAAAGGCCGAAGAAGACGCTGTCCGCCGTAAAGAGGAACACCCTGGCCTACATCCATCATCGCCGCTCAACGCTCGTGGCGGAACCTATGGCGATTTACAACCAGTAAGCGGTGTGTACCCCACGCCGCCAGATGGAATTGCCCCTGGTACTGGGGTATCCTATAGCGACACGCCGACTGTATCTGGAGCAGCTTCCAATGTTGTCTTAGTACCCGGAGGAAGCAATCCTGCCATCAACATCTCTGCTCCACCGGACAGTGCCAAGACTGAAGACCAACAAATGGTCACTACATCTCCAGCTGTTCCTTCTGCGACCGATAATTTCAACACATCGAGCGGTAACGATGACCTTTTTGAGGACATGGAGGAAGACGGTTACACCGGTGACCGTATCAACGATACAGATTTCGATTTCTTTGATGGCCCGGATAATGACGACGTTGATATGCTAGACGCACCTGCTCTACCTAATGATAATGCACCACCTACTCATGCTACACAGGACCCACACCCCAAAGCCGCTACGGAGCCTCAGGCCCAAGATGACATGTCGGATCCTTTCGCAGCCCTCGAGAACGCACTTGCTACAGCTTCTGAGCCTGCGATGAGCCAAGATCATACCAAAGGCAAAGAACCTGCGCATATGCCAGCACCCAAGATTGAAATCTCTGATAATTCAGGAGACACCAAATCATCACCAGTGCGAAGGAATGTTTCATTCTCCAGGGCACCTACGCCGCCTCTGAGTCCCAGCAAGATCCTCAAAGCGCTAGAGCCGTCTCCACCTCGTAAATCAGCATCACGCACTCGATCAGAACGAGGTTCTGAGAGTCACCCTGATGCACACTTCACCCCGGTTGTGTTTAATCGTAAGATGAGCTTGTCTGATGCAAAGTATCAGGGCGGACGGTTTAGTGCACATCGCCCCACCACTCCGACTGGCCAAGTTCAGCTCAGTCCCAGCCCAGCTAGAAATACTGGTGCTACACAACCGAAGAGCTTGAGAGAATTTCCCCTGCTTTCGAAGCTTCGACTCGCAGCCGGAATCGCATCTGCAAACCGAATCCCGGAGATGGCATCTCTAGCTCGCGCGGTCAGTGACGATTCAGATTCTTCGAGTGAGGTGTCGGATGCATCTGGCAACGATTCTGGAGATGAAGAGGTAGAGGTGACGCCTGCTGCTATCATGAATAGCCTTACTATGCCCGCCAAGAGGAAGTTGCAAAGTGAGGGCAACGCGACCCCACTGTCTGTGACCTCGTTTGCAGAATCCCTAGGAGGTGACTGGCTAGATTTGTATGGCTTGCACCTAGATGAAGCCAACCTCAGTAGTTTCGAACCAAGTCTTTGGGACTGGTCTCTGGTCAATGTTCCTTCTCCAGCCGAGCGGCCCGTAGCTGGGGCACGGTACAGTCTGCCTGCTTTGTTACCGGGCCCTGCGCAGATGCCCGACACCCCTACTTCTCAGCCCGATCCCGCGTATGAAGTACCAGATGAGAAGCCGCTGAGTGCAAAGGATAGCATCTCCATCACACAGATTGTGACTGACCAGCTTGTCTCTACAACACTTGATATGCTCAGCGAGGACCCACCCATAAGAAGCGAATTCAACAACGACGCTGTGGCCGAGACGCCTTGGTACAATGTTATCAAAAACCTCTTTCCAACGGCTACAGATTGCGATCTGCCTACATTGGCAGGTGTCAACGAAGTATTCCAGGACTATACCGCTCTGGCCAAAGCACAGCAAAGACCTCCTGCACGAAAATCAGATAGCCCAGCAGTCACGGGGAGTCACATGTATCAAATTCAGGCGCCATTCCTGAGAGTGCGTCGTGCAGAGACGCACTGGGATCTACTGCCGCCTGCGGTGGCGTTTTGGGAGACACTAGGACTCTCCCCCATCAGCCACCCAAAGAACATTGTCACGTTCTGTGTATATCCCCACAGCGATGCAATAAGACCGTGTTTGGAAAACTTTCTGCTTAACCTCCAGCTTGCCTATGATGGCTGTAAACTTGGTAATCACAGTCGGGTGGAGACGGCGGTAGAGTACGAAGGCGGCCTTGTACCCGTCAGGGCAACCTCGACCATTACACCGCGAGAAACATTCAAACTTCTTAAAGATACGTGCATTCAGCTCGGTAAGCTTCTCGCTCTTCAATACGGCCAAATACGAGAGCAACAGGATTTCAAGGTCGATGCCTTTGTCATTTACATGATTGATCCTTTTGGGGGGTCATCAGCAGTTTGGGAACTGTGTTCGGCCTTTTGGGCGCTGTTCCAGGCATACACGCAAGGTCATCCAGGACGTCCAGACCAGCCACAGAAGCCAGATGTCGTGCTACAGATCATCCCTATGAAGTATGTCGCTTCATTTGATGCACCCGTTATCCTTGACCCATCTACGTACATGGGCCTTGCGCGAGAGGTCTACGATCGATGCCCTCCCAGTGCGCCAAGTGGTGACAAGACATCTCTGAGCATATACAAAGCACCTGCGTTCCATCTGGAAGAGACACTACCGCGCAATATCCCTTTCAAACTTATATCCGAGCCAGCCCAGGACTTGTTGCGGGAGAACACGTACATGCATCTCGGCTACGCCATCAGTCTTGATGGTGCGTGGGTTACTGCTGCATGGACTGACAGCTGTGGCAAATCTCAGGCAGTCGTCTCGTACTACTTGGGGACAAGAATGTTCAGAGAGATTGCGAAGGAGATATGGCAAACTACTATCGAGATACTACAATCTCGAAGAGTCAACTGGCGTGTCTGCATCGCCAAAGCTGGTGTGCTTGAAAGGGAAGAGCTTGAGACATGGGTCTTTCTCATCTCATGCCCCACACAGATTAATGTCTTTGTCACATTGCTCACAGCAGTTGATACGGATCCGCCATACCAATTCACGCCTACAGTGCCTAATTCAACCCCAGCAACTGGCGCTGGAGCTACCACACCAGGTTCTACACCCCAAGCTGGTGTGTCACCTTCAGATCCAGGACCGGGTCTTACACCCGCCGCCACACCTGCCACCGACCCCACGGCCACAGATCCAGCTGCCGATCCCGAGGCACGTCTCATAGATGTAACTGACGACACTTGGGGCATAATCCTTGCCCATCGTTTGCACAACTCGCACACAACGACCCAGTTCAGCCCAGCCCTCATATCAGGCCTACTCGTCAAACGCGGCGAAACATTACAAACATCCAACAGCATCGCGCACCTTATCCCAGACGCAGAGCAAGGACCCATTGTCATAGCCGTAAACTTCCTCTGGATCGGCGCTGTAGGCTCATCTCGTAATGCCACTACCAACTTGCCCTTTCCCTCAAGTACATCATCTTCTGCGAATGCATCGGCATCCTCCTCAATATCGTCCTCAGACCTGCCTAGTCCTGGTGGCTCTAATCTTCCGAATCCATATGCCAACAATCCTGGCACGCCACAGAGTCCTGGGCCGGGTCAGGAGGGTCAGAGAAGCACAACAAGTCTTATGTGGACGCCTACACCACAGACAAGAACGACAGCTGAAGGACTGCTGAAAGAAGTCCTCGGACAGTTTAGGGCATTGGGTTTGTTGGCTAAGTTGAGAGGAATGAGGGGTACGAAGAATGGGACTATCCCCTGGCATGTTGCTGCTGCTAAGAGGGGAGTTGAGGGGTTGAGTAAGATTAGCGGTGGTGCTGGAGCTGCAGTGTGATTGAATTGTTTTAAGAAGGAGAGAATGGGTGGGTATTATTTTGGTGTTTTTTTTGGCGTTGGATAACATGTAACGGGGGATATACCAATGTCTCTTTATCATTATTCATTTATCATTTCTGTGCTCTGTTTTTGTTTGGACTTATTCGCTCATGTGTAGAAATGTTCAATCTGATTGATAAACCATGTTCATGAACAAAATTAAAAAATTCATATCTCATCTAAGAGTCTCCTCTCCTCTCCTCTCCATCCCCTCTCGTCCCTTAGCTAAAACCACCCATTGCAATTCTCACCTTTCAATTCCCAAATGATCAACCCTCTTCGCCTTGACTTCTCTTTCCTCCGCATTCGCAGCCGCGTACGCGCTCCCTTGGGCCCTGGCAATACCACTTGCTTCACCTGTTTCGCATGCATACATTAGTCTAGCACCACATAAAAAATCCAACAGTTACCATCCCTCATATCATTTTATAAAAATCTCCAAAATCAAGGCAAGGTGAAAAGGATGAAAGGAAGAATGAAGGAAACAAATAAGGGGAAAATGTGAGCAAAGGAAGTGGGATCACATACCTCTATCCCACCTCTCCTCCTCCGTAACACTGTCCCCATTCGCTTCCTGGCGCGTGCTCTTTTTCGACTTTGAACTGAAAGCGCCGGAGAGAGCGGCGAAGAGGTTGAGGTTTAGACCAGCCTTTTTCCCATGTTAGTTTTCTTATTTTCCATTTCTTATCTCATTCTTTTCTAGGGGATCTTTTTTTGTAGATGAATCAGGTAAGGAAGAAGAAGAAAAAACTCACAGATGCATTTGCGCTAGCAGTCCTCTCATGGACTTGAGTTGCGCTGTCTTGGTTTCGCTGCTGGACTTGGTTTTGATTGTTTTGTTTGGAGAGGGCTTGGGTCATTGTATCTGATTTTTGAGTTTTTGACGAGACGGTGATATATTTTTGGATTGACGGGATTTGAAGAACTATTTTTCTGTGTTACAAGAAAGTACGCTAGGTAGATAAGTTGCTTTGTATGTTGCCCTGGTGGTTGGTGGTGGTGAGACGGCGACAAGCATGACGTCACGCATCGCAAGGGTGTACCAGCAGGTTTTGATGCGTGAACGCGTAAAGGGTCTGGGGTAAGCGGCAAGGATGGCTAGTTGGGTAGTCTCGCCACATGGAAAGATGGGCATGTGGATATTTGCAAGGTATATGGTTATTGTGTTAGTTCGATATGATTAGTTCACTAGTACCTCTACGATATTGTCCCAGAAGCCCAAGTCGTATACATTCTCCACTGCAGCTAGATTCCACACACGCTCAAAGCTGTCTTCTTTAGCGACGGATTTGATGCGACTAGGTAGCGATTTTGGTGGTTGCCCGGTTCGTGTTCGAATGAGAATATGCCTGCTCTCTAGAGGCCAGGTGGTGGGCGGTTCCTCGTCATCTGTTGGGCTACGGTATTGCTGCATTGTGTCCTCGCGCCGGTGACCGAGAAAGACGACACCCTCTGCCATTTCGTCATGCCAATCTGCCCATTTTGAGCTCTCGTTTGTTGTCATGCCCGCCCAGATGAGGTAGATGTGGTAAGTTAGGAGACCCAATGGAAGCGGCCATGTAAGAAGCGCGAGTAGACCGACTCCGGATCCGCGAATACCACCGACGTCCAGGTATATGCTCGTGTACATGAGGAAGTAATGCATCTTTCGGTCAAAATACGCACCCCAGCTCTTAGAGCTGACACTAATCTTGGGTTTGTATCTATACCAGTCCTCGTACTTTAGGTACTGCTTTAAGACCATCGGAGAGAGAGCATAGTAGGCTAGGTATGCTCCATAGGCAATAAGGATACTCGTTGATAGCAAGAGAGCCAGAAACCACTTGTAATTGCCCCGGCCTAGGCAGTTGTTCACCCATATACAATGATGATCCATTCTTGAAACGCATGTTTTGCATATACTGCAATGTTTGCTACGCGCAGGCTTCAGGAACTTGCATGTCCGACACTCGGTGCCAGGGTAGTACAGCACTCTATCGTACGGATAGTGCCGCATCTGCTCAGCGTGGTTCGCTGCATTTATATATGTTTGGTTGTTCCTTTTCGCACTTAGGTACAGAAAGATGTACGGCTGTGGCAACATGACAAAGGCGAAGAGCTTGTGGTGCAGCCCAATGAGATGCCACACAGCGGGCAGAAACATGACAGCGCATGCAGTCACCAGGCCGAGAAAGAAGATCACGACGAGCGGATGCTTGTCGTACATAAGATAGTGGCCCAGGCGGGAGCCACCGTTGGTGATGCGGCCATTTGTGAGAGCGAGGTCGACCCATCGAAATGCCGAGGGGATATGAATGAGGAAGAGACGGTTGAGGAAGCCAATGGGTGTGTTTCTAGACTTGTTAGAGACAATCTTATCACTTGCGCACAGAGTAGATACCTAAAAGCTGGCAGCCGCCCGAAAAAGGCTATGAAGGTAACAAGGGACACTGTGACAGTGAAGATGATGATGGTGCGAGCGACAGTCATGATGGGGGAAGGTCAGATTGTAATAGGTGTCGCATGGCGGAGTAAAGAGGGAAGGAATTCCAAAATTACTTTCGCATCATTATCACGATGTGTTGTGGTCTACCAAGTCGTGTGTGTGCAAGGCATCATGGGGAACAGGCTGAAGGGACTACGCGGCTGCTGCCGACACCTGACCCCGCGTGAATCCTCCGTCACATGTGAGCGCGTCTCGTCACAGCTCAACTAGTAACGCGTCGACTCACCACCACTTAGCGCGGCAGTAACAACCCGACCATGGCGGCATCTGTTGTGTACAAAGATGTCAAAGAGGGATTCGATCTCGAATCCTGCGGAGACCTATTCGCAGGTAAAAAATTCTGGGTCGCGCAGCGCGTGCCAACGCGCAACCACCTGCTGGATGAGATCAAGGCCAATGGCGGAGAGATTGTGCTGCTGGAGAAGAAGGCCGACTATATGATTGCCGATCACTTTCGAAGAGATTGTCCACCGGGTTCGATCTCATACGAGTTTATTACCAAGTCAATTAAGAATGGAGAACTGTGCGACCCCAAAAACCATCCAGCCGGTCCGCCGTTGGGCGAGGCGCGAGAACCGGGAGCCATCCACCAGCCTACCAAGAGCGGGAGGACGCCATACACAGCAGAAGAAGACAGAATACTCTACAAATGGGCACACGAAGCTGAGTCAAGCGGTAGCCCTGTGAGTGGGAACGAGATTTACAAACAGTTGGAGCAGAAGGTAAGCGCGAGCAAACAAGTCTGGCACGAGTATGTCTGCTAAACCAATACAGTACCCACAACACACATGGCAATCATGGCGTGACCGCTATCTCAAGCAACTCCGAAACCGCCCTCCATCTGCCTTCAAATTACCTGACAATGCTCCTCCGTCTCCCTCGTCCGACCAAGCCAATAAACGTACGCCTCCAGCTTCATCGTCTTCCAACCCTACCAAACAACATACATCTAAACAGGAGCAGGAAACGACTGCGAAGAAACCCAATGCCAAAAAAGAGACCAACGCAAAAAAAGACTATAGTGTCAATGAGCTGAAAGTACTGTTTACTCTGGATGATTGGCTAGAACTCTACGCCTTTGCGGATTTAATCAACAGCCTAGAAGTGAGCGATGAGTATGATTCGGCATGGGAAAAATGGGCAGAAGAGCAGTGCAATCAAACCGCTGTACAATGGCGGCAGTACTTTGAAAAGGTGGTTCGTCCGCAATGGCTCATCGATCCAGTGTCAAAAAGGGAAAAGATGAAGAGAAAAGTCGAGAAGCAGCATGATGAAGACAATCACAGTCAGGGTCAGTCAATCAGCCAACCGTTTTCTCAATTGGTCAAACCAGAGGAAGAAGCTGCACAGTCCACAGTTCCAGTAGAGGGCGATACACTAGTGCAGACATCAGGTTTTAACAATGAACGCTTCGAAGAATTGATTAATAACGAACACAACAACAAAGTCCCGTCAGCCTACAAGTTCTTTGCCCGCGAAAAGAAGCAGGAAACTTTGAATGCACATCCTGGTAGGGGTTATAGTAAGTGTTTATGTATCTATCGTTGATGCAGTCATGATTGACCTACATGTTAGCTGCACTACATATCGTCCTAATAAACCAGTGGTCCTCTCTATCGATAGAAGAGAAAGCACCATATCTGGCTATGGATAGAAAAGCTACTGCGCAAGCCTCGGAGGAGACTGGAAACTCTACCAAAACAGCACAAGCACCTAAGAGATCGCTATCTTCGAAAGCTCAGCACGAGTTCCCCAAACTCCATCTCGAGAAAAACGACCAGTTCACAAAACGATCACGAGAAGATGATGAGACAGAAGAGCAGGAAGAAGAGATTGAGTCACCTCGACCTATCAAACGACGGAAAAGCGGAAGTACAACGCCTACCAAGGACAACACATTAGAGACGCCAACCGAAAAGACTGGCATCCAACAGCAGCCACTGGAGATTTCATTATCTGCAAACTCGCAAGACACAATTCAGCCAGAGCCCATCAAGGAGCAGGCTAGGCTAGATATATCCGACTTTGTAGAAGACGACGAGGCCACCATGGTTGAGCTGGATAAGCAGGGTACAGAAAAGGAAGTGGAGAGCATCGAGTCCGACGAGTTTCTAGACATAGATCATCTGCGTCAACCACTAGGTTACGAAACAGGTTCAGAAGATGATCTACGTTCAAACACGCCAACGCCACGAGCCACGCGCCAGAAAGTGTCAAATCTCGATACTCAGGCGATTCTATCCTCACCTACTCAAGACGGGTTTCCGCGCTCAATTGGCCTTGCCCAAGAAGCGAATTTTCAACAGGAGCTACTGTTTTCCTCGCCTCAGGTTCCAGAATCTGATGCATCCACAACACAATCCATGGAAGAGTTTCGCCGCTCCCTCCAGGAAGAGGACGTAGGTGAAGCCACTTACCCTCAATACCCACCCCGACCTCTCCGCCTGTCCTCTTCTCCAGTACCTTCCACAACCTCTACTAGTTCGGGCGACCCCGATCCACCGCTCAACGCCGAAGAAATTAACGAATTCTATGATGAGCAAAATGCCCAAGGGTTTCCCAACGATTTCATCAGTGCAGCGCTCAAACGTACAGGCTTACGTCCCGAGCTTGCTGTCAAAGTGCTCGATGCGTGGAAGCAGGGCAAGCCTCTGCCTAGTGAAAGGGGTATATGGAGCAAGGAGAACGATACGGCTGTAGAAAGCGGAGACGGGTATGAATTAGCTAAGCTGGCAAGGAAGCATACAATCGACGGCTGGGGTGGGGTTACAGAGCGTCTAGTATTTTTGGAGGGATATCGAAGTCGATGAAGAGGGGATTTCAGAGTAGGATTGTGATTCTCTGAGTAGTGCAGTTCTTCCCTTCATCTTGGAAGCTGCAGTTTATGAGTACCCTTCTTTACATGCTTTCGTTACTATAGGTCCATTAAACCTTTCCAGCTGCAGACACAAATGTCCAAGTACGCGAGTAGATGATCATGTGACTTGGCGAAGGCGCTATTGCTGCGCTAAATTACAGACGCGTCCCCCGCATCCGCGTCACCTTTTCGTGCGGATCAAAGCGTCTCCTGTTTATCATTTTGAACAATTCCACATGTCGTTTCGTAATAGACAATCAACGGCTCGACCGACTGCCAGCCGCCAGTCTGGAGTGTCTACCCCAAGCCGCAATGCTGTTGCCGACACGCTTCCACCGTACAAGAAGCCGTCTCACCCTCTTGATACTGAGGCGACCCGCGCGTTGCGCGAACTGCAGGGCCGCAGTCTAAACGACGTCAAAAGACACAGCAAGCAGGCTGCTGCTGCCATCACTGCCAGTGCTGAGAACGTTAACGATACTCTGCGCGATCATGCCGAATACATAGCACGACGGAAGAAGAAGTGGGATGCGGGCAAAAATCTGGAGGATAGAGACGTGGAAGAGCGAGACATGGAGGAATTGAAATTGAAGGTAGAAGAAGCCACTACGAAGCTGGAAGAAAGCATGCGTGCAGTCATCGACTCTGGGGTTGCGGCGCAGAGAATTGATGATACACTTGATTGGCTTAGAACCCATGCACCTATAACGTTAGAAGAAGAATATCGCACCCAAATGACGCAGCGAGAAACGCAGCGACAATCACAGAGCCAAACAGCCACTCAGCGGCGTACCCGAAACGTTGACGGAGACGGAGACACTGAGATGGATGAAGGCCCTACGCCCGGCCCGACCCCTATTGATGGGTCTCGAATAGCTCTCACCGGTGCAAGCGAATTATTTGCCTCGCGTGTGCAACGCGAAAAAGATACCTATACATCACTTTCCCTTACGGCGCGCTATGCCCGCAATAACGAATACCGCGACTTCAAGCGAATAGTGCATGATGCAAAGTACGGGGACAGTGGTCCTGTCTTGGGCCACGAAGATACTTGGTTCACCGAGACTGGATCACCAGCGCCAGGAATCACTGATAGCACACAGCGCGGTGATTTCGACGACGATGATGATATTGTCGTAGACCGAGCTACTATCAGCACGCGATGTCCAATCACATATCAGCAGTTCAAAGAGCCTTACTCAAGCAACAAGTGTCCGCATACTTTTGAAAAGAATGCAATTCTCGAGATGATTCGGCGAGGTCCTCACAGAATCGGGCAACAAAAAGCAGTCGACTGTCCAGTCACCGGATGTAATCAGGTAAGCATGGCTTCCTCCGTTTTGTTTGATTGTTGAGTGCCACCCAGGTGAACGTTTATGCTGACAATTTCGGCCAGATGCTCACGGAGACCGATGTGCACTCGAACAAAGTCCTCATCCGCAAGATCAGACGCATGCAGGAAGCTGAGCTTGCAGAAGCCGAAGAAAGTTCCGAGGATGAGATGCAAGCGCCTAGTTCGGACAAGCAATCTCAGCCAGTCCCGTCAGGTAGTGCCGGGGACCGAGGTGATGCTAGCGACGGAGAACTGTCAGTTTGAGGCTCAGACGGGAGGACGCACTGATGCCCGCAGATCTGTGATGGATAGTCCATAAATGCATGAGGCGTTGAGATTGTCAAGTTGCTGCCCAAGTCCAGCGTCACACTCACTTGCCGGTAAATGTCCCGTCTTTTCTTATCCAGCGATATTCCCCAATCAAGTTGTCGCAAACCTTTGTGAAGGTGTTACGTCTGCAGACAAGCCGATGTTGCTGTATCCTCGGCTTATCCGACAGCTTCCTCGGATAAACGAAATGACTTTTCCTTTTGTTGACGGGCATGGGCTCGGAAAACCGTGCATCTAGACATCAATGAAAGACCCACCGTGGTTTCAATCGGGGGCCAGCAGAATCTCGGTGCTTATCGTCAGAAGCAAATATCTACGGCCGCGGATACCTCTCGGGTACGTTCAAGCGCGCATCCACAGCCGCGCAGGAAGCACTTTTTGTTTGAACGGCTCACAAGCACGGGAAAGACCCTGCGTTTGACCAAAACCGGCGTGACCCTTTTGCTCCAAGTAGATGCGCAAAAGGCGGTATATCAATAAGTACTCGAAGCGGCCCAAAAAGCACTGTGCATGCCATGCGCGGCTGGTAAGTAAGAACGATGCACGGTTGTCGTTCGCGATTGTCGAAGAGGCGATTAGGGTGCAGAAAAGCGCGCTGAGGTCACATTGCCTACAACTAGGTGAGGACCTGACATGAAGCTTATGTACGGTGATGTACTGCTACAGGTGGTCGTTGGCATGTGACAGGGCGTGTTTGCGACGGATGGATTGGCCGAAGGTGGCTGCTGCGACAGACGTCATTGCTCGTGATTATGTACAGCATAGTAGCGGTTCCGCACACGGGGCAACGGAGAGACATTGGAGGATGGCGTGCCTGAAGATCTGACTGAACCCTTTGACCCGGAGACAGGCATAGGTCCCCGAAAGCAACCGTCGGAGAGAGAGACGGACGAGAGGTTGGGTCCGACACGCGACACAAGCGCCTCCAGCTTTTGCTGCTCCGCCATGGCGTTGAAGCGTGTGAGGCGACGATGGCATCAGAGCACAGGTAACCCGTCAGGCTTGATTGGACGGGCAGCCATGGAAATGCGCATAACATCAGCTCTCCATATCAGTGGCTCGCTGGGTAGCACGGCGATGCGGGGAAAGGCCGTCCAACCCCTCAATTCATGGCACCAGTGGACTGACTTGTTGACAATACGTAGACGATCATGCTATTTCTGATCCCTTCACTTCTTCACTGAACTTTCAGCCTCGTTTATCTTCCTCACATTCTCAGCACTTTCTGTTGCAACATTGTTGAAGCACTGAAGCCGGCCGTCGAACGCACGTACGCCATAGCACGCATCCACTTCTAAGCCCGCCCGACCCACACCCCACTCGTCTCCTACTCGGACCGGGACATCCACCTCCGCACAGACTTCATAGCACGAGGTACGCCCCAACACCCTTTCTTCTTATTCACCGACATGTTGTGCCCCTACGTGACGGCGCGGGTATGATCGGAAAGAGGAGGGTCACTGCACACGGAGACGTTTTCCGTCACAAGCCCACCTTGAATGTTTACTGTGCGTCGGGCGCAAACTGTACATCCATGTCATAGCAGGCTAGCCTTGACAATGTCCACGGCCGCGGCGCATACCGTCTGGAACCTGTATCGCAACATGAGGCTCTTGCAAGTGGCTTGGAGCTACAGGCGCGCGTCATGTCGTAGTTTCATCGTCCCTGGGCATATAGAGTTAAGATGGCAGTCTCCTTCGTCGGCTTTTCCAACTTCAGTCCTCTCCTATATTGCTTTCCCCGTTTGATCATTCCAGCATAGCGCAGCGTTATACCCAACAGCACTATCCCTTTATATCATTGCCCCATTCACACAGAAATCCTTGGGATTAGGACTACGTGCAGTTGCTGACGCCTGCCATGTCAACTACAACAGCCACCACCCATACCTTTAAGATGCCTGCTGCCCGCGCCCTCGAAAACGCAAAGCAATCCTCAGAATCAGTCCTCAGCGACGCATCCTCCGCCATGTCCAAAGCAGCTGAGAACCCCAGGAAGGCCACTTCAGACTTTCTTCACACACCGTTTATGCGTGCAGCACTACCATTTATAAACGGCGGCATCGCAGGCATGACGGCTACAACAGTCATCCAGCCCGTCGACATGGTCAAAGTACGCCTCCAACTCGCCGGTGAAGGAGTCAAGACCGGCCCCAAACCCACACCCATCAGTGTACTCCGGGATATCGTTGCACAGGGCAAAGTGCTAGATCTCTACACGGGACTCAGTGCTGGTATCTTGCGCCAAGCCGTGTACACGACCGCCCGGCTCGGCTTCTTCGACACCTTCATGAAGACCCTAAGTGCACGAGCAAAAGAAAATGGCACTTCAATCGGCTTCAAGGAGCGCGCAGGCGCTGGCCTCACTGCTGGCGGTCTCGCCGCCATCGTCGGCAACCCCGCTGACCTGGCCCTCATCCGCATGCAATCCGACGGCCTCAAACCCGCCGCCCAGCGCGCAAACTACACATCCGTCATTGATGCTCTTGTGCGAATAAGCAAGGCCGAAGGCGTCACCCGCCTCTGGGCCGGCAGCTACCCGACCGTCGTGCGCGCCATGGCCCTCAACTTTGGCCAGCTCGCCTTCTTCTCAGAAGCAAAGCAGCAGCTGCAACATACCAGTTTGTCGAGCCGCTCGCAGACGCTGACGGCAAGCGCTATCGCCGGTTTCTTCGCTAGTTTCCTCTCCCTCCCCTTTGACTTTATGAAGACGCGCCTGCAGAAGCAGACACGTGCGCCCGATGGAACGCTACCGTACAAGGGCATGTTTGACTGCTTTAAGAAGGTCGCCAAGGAAGAAGGATTGCTCAGGTTCTATCGTGGCTTTGGAACGTACTATGTGCGCATTGCACCGCATGCGTAAGTTTTTATTCTCCTTCCCTACATTGTTTTTGTTACATCCAGCTAACGAAATGCTCATAGCATGGTTACTCTCATCGTCGCTGATTACCTTGGTTTCATCACTAAATAAATTTCCTGTACCTCCTTTTCTTTTCTTCGTTTTCTCTCCATCGCTGAACGCCAAGGGAGATTATATCAGCTTTTCTCTTCACGACTTCGAATATCACACGGAAGGGTCTTTCAATCCACGTGTATGCAGGAACCTAGAATCGGTTCGTTTGGCGTTTTTTTCTCCTTTGTCTTCAGGGTGGTGGTCGGGAGAGAGGGAGACAGAGACAGGCTTGTTCGTCTCTCTCCAATCAGCGGGCGTTTTTTTGTTGATTTCCGTCAATCTTCCGGATCTGAGTTATGTTTTTCTCTCGATTATGTATATGCGTATGACACCCATTTTGCTCCATCAGAAACCTAATCTGGAATTATTGCTGTGTCGTGTGAGGTGCTTTAGTTTCTGTTTGCGGGGAACATTACTAACCATGCCATATTCCTCCAGCATCATTGAGGTATACAGATGGATAAACCAAGGACAGTTTATCATTCACACGCATTCAGTACTTCATTCCTGCTAGGTATATCGCTACGAATCGCCTCCGCCCATTGACAAACCTTCTTGACAAACCATCATCGTCTGTGCAAAGCCACCTTCTCACCTCCTTCCACCACCAATATCCTGACCCAACCTATACCCGCTAATCTTCTCCCACTCAATCTTCTGCCTGGTAATCGGCAGCTGTCTCCTCAGCGACTTGAACGCGCCCTCACTCAAACTAGCAAACGCCTTATTCAAATCCTCCTGGTACTTCTTCTCCTCCGCTGCAATCTTCCTCACGACCTCCGGTCCACTGGCACCGCTACCATTAACGCTGACCTCCTTGGTGGTAAGCAGGCGTACGTTTCCGTCTTCGTAGTAGTGCACGTCGACTTTTATGCTGCCTGTGATGCTGCCCGAGGACGAGTCGTAGGTGTATGAGCTGCGCCAGCGGCCGTTCCAGTAGTTTGTGGGCGAGTACTTGTTTGCGACGGTGATGATGGCGAAGTTGGAGGATGAAGGGATCGGGTACACGCCGTGTGAGGACTTGGGGTAGTGTTCTGCAGCGTGTGTGCTTAGGGCTTTGTTAAGGCTCTTGCTAAGGTGGGGGGTTAGCATGCTGCCATCTCTTTAGGCACCAGCGCCTGGAGATGCGGAGATAGACGTACAGAAGGTCGTCGTTGGAAGTTTCCACAACGTAGCTTTGCACGGCGCTTGCCTTGCCAGTGACATGGTCGAAATCAAACGAGCTCTGCGTGTCAATGTCGTAGTACCTGCCGTCGCCCAGCGAGTTGTACTGGCTGACTAGGACCTCAGTGCTGCCGCCAGGGAGCTTGGTCGTAGCGAATTGCTCTTCGTTGTACTTTTGGAATGCGGGAGAGAGCTCGTTCTGCACAGAGTCGTTGCCGAGGATTGACTTGATTGCTTTGGTGACATCCGCGAGCTGTATTGCTGGTCAGTCGGCGCTGTAACACGAACAATATGCAGTGCCAAAGGGGAACATACCTCACCCGGCGGTGCGCTATCAATAAAGGAAGAGAGGGCTGCTGTTCGTGACATTTTGCGGTTGTTTGGTGCAGCAATTGCTTGTTGTGTTGGCACAGTTGCGGGCGCACATCGAGGGCGGAGGAGCCCAGCGGGGCGGGGTCCAGCGGGAGTGCAGGGGCCACCCGTCACTCCGCGTACACGCAGAGCAGACACAGAACCCAGAATGTGTTCGAAGCTTGGTGATAGTATGAAAGATGATAAATGGGTATCTATTCAAAAAAAAAGCCAGTGCAAGAATGAACTAGTCATGTACGTTCAGTCCCTCTTACCCTTAGCACCGTGCCAGAAATAAAACCCATACGTGTACTTCCCGTAGTTTGTAAAACACCGCATTTTGCACACCTACTCGATGCTCATCTTCATCAACCCATCACTCGTGTCAGTCATGCCTTGTAGACCTATCCTCTTTGGTCCCAATGTAGGCGTCATACTCATACTGCCTCCGCTATTTGAGCGCTCACCATACGAGTGCCCACTGATAGATGTTTCTCTGCTTGCTTTGGCGCTTGTTCCCCACAGGTTTCCGTCTCGCTGAGCAGGCGACTGAGAGATGACAGGGCTGTTATGAACGCTGACGCCTGGCGAGACGGCACGGCGTTTGATTGAGGCTTCATCAAAGTCGTCATCTCGCCGGCGTTTATTTGACTTCTTCAGCGCTTCCGCTGCCGTGGGGGGTTGCATTGGCCCGGGTGTGGACGCCCGAGATGCCCCACCGTTGGGGCCGATGATTGGCGAATCCATGTTCATGTCTTCACTCATTGCTGATGATTCCGCTCGAGGGAAAGATGGCGGAGGAGTGTGAGCTGCACGTTGATTCCAGAAGCCATTGCTCGTTGAATTTCGGCCAGTGCTATGCAGACTACCAAACACACCGAACAATCCCTTGGCGTTGGCGTTATCGAGGCTCATACTGCTTTCGTCACCTTCTTCCGGTACTCCTTCCAGTGGTCCATCCAGTCCAGGAACGGCAGGTAGAAGGCTAGGCGAGGATTGGGCGGTGACCGAAGTCCTTTCCTGGTCTACATCACTTTCTCTTACTTGCCGTATGATTTCGGCTTCGCGGCGGAACTCGCTATCTACGGGTGCCGCCTCTTCGAATAACTCGGCTCTGATGCGGCCAAATTGTCTCGATTTCGGCTGGTCAAGTTAGCATGTATTGTTCTAGCAGTAATATGAAAATAGAAAGCAACGTACAAGCAAGTTGCCTCTCCGTGTAACCGCCCGCCTCACCACTCCAGGAGTCTGAGGTAAATTGACAGCTTCATCGCCACTATCATTACCAGAGGATATGTGGAGGTCGTTGGCAAAAAGTGATAGGCTCTCTCTTCGGGAGCCTGCCTTGCGTATTGCTGCTTCTCGGGCAAAGTACCCACCTTCCTTACCATTCGGCGGTGATCCTGGGCCGGGACTGGCCATTGAGCTATGCCCACTGGCTGAGCTCGAACTTTTCCTACTTCGGCCCTTGCGCAGCCTAGCGCGGTGCATGCTCGCAAAGTTGGGTTGTGCCCCGGGGGAGAAGAGGTTTGCCCAGAGCCCGTTGCTGCCTGATCCGAGACCTGGAAACAAGACATTGGTCTTAGCCTGTGGTGTCGTGATCATGGGGTCGTCGTGATCATCAGGGTCTAACGGGTCCACTTCGTCTGAAGAACTGCTCGAGTCTTCAGATCCCATCATGTTAATGCTGCCAACCGAGCTCGAAGGTGCCGTCCTGTCCCCATGGCTCCATCCACTCCCATGCATGCTCACGTTGGGCGATTCCATAAGCATCGAGTTGGAACGAGGCTTCCGCGGTGGTATCTTGATGCCCTTTTGCGTGATGGTTGGCGAGGAGTCGGGAGACGACTGGTCAGGGAGCGTCGAGTGATGGAGATTGGTGCAGGCTCTCGAGAACTCGGCACCACGGGAGCGGCGGGGCAGGACGGACCCAGGAGAAGCATACGTGTTGCGCGCATCTAGTTGCGGTGAGAGAGGCACACGCGCAGCAAAGTGGGCGGGGCTAGGCATGTGCGACTCTCTCGGGGGCATCTGCAGAGAGAGGCCTCTGGAGAGGAAGTCGGGGCGGCGAGGGGTGCTGGGGCTGGCATCGATGGTGTGGTCGTCCTTTGACATGCGTGTGGATTCATGGATTTTGGGCGATGGTTCGAGACGGGGTGTGCTGTCGGAGAGAGACCGTGCTTTGGGCGACTGCGTCTTTGGTGGTGTTGTCACTACCTGCGACGCCATTACGGCGCCTTCGCGGTCACCGGGTTCGCGTCTGTTAGTGATGTCTGGCGTCTTTGTGGCCGTCAACATTGCAACCGGGGAAGAAGAAGAAGTGTTCTGCAGGGCGACTGGCGAAACTCATTATATTAGCGACGCGCTGTGAACAAGAATGAACCTTGGTTGCGATTGATACGCCCGGCCCGCCTTGCTCGACGTCAATGTCACCAAAGCGGGGCGGCTGCTAATCAGGGCCTACTATCGTCACGTGCGAACCACAAATAACCTCACCCTCTGTTACCTCTGTTGGTGCCTCGTCCCGCACTCGGCTACATGCTGTCTCCATCAAACTCCGAGGACAAAATCTAGTTGAGCATCTCGCCATATCCGCATTCCCAAAGAGTCATTACCGTGCTTAGATCGCTAACAGATCGTCTCACATGTGCCCGTTGCCTCAACCATACCCCTAAACGCTCACGATACCCTCCACCCACTCAATGTCTTCCCATGTCGCCTCCCATATGTTGTGAATCACCTTAAACCGATCCTTGCCATTCCGCTTCATCGTACCAATGCATCGACACATTCGCCCTTGCTGCATCAGCCGTCTGCTGTCATATTCGAACAACGGCACCACCTTCCAGATGACTGCATCATAAGTGCCCTTCACATAAGGGGGCTTGGCGTGGAAAAGATCGCAAAAGGTGAAGTGTTGTTGTTTCTCAGTTCGCTCTGAAGTAAGCACCCTGGCATACAGCTCAATGAGCATCTGTTGCCCTGATTTTGATGCTTGATGGCTCTGGTTAATTGCTTCACCAACCCGGAAACAAGTTCTGAGCACTACATTCGACGAAAGGCCTATAATAGGCGAGCGGTCGCGAGCTGGTTTCGGGAATGGAGGTCTGACAATCGGGGTCCGAGCATTTGCAGATCCCCCATCGCCGGTGACAGACAGTAGACGGGTAGATAGAGTGACTGGAGATACGAACTTCTTGTGAGTGTGCTGAGAGGTGTTGATAGCAGGCGCTTCTTCAGGTGCATTTTCACTACAGTCATCACTAGCGTGCCTCTGTTCATTATCTGTAGGACAGGACTTTGCAGGTGAGTTTGAGACGTTGTGAGGGATGTCGAAACACGTTCTATCAGAACCTGAAGCTAAAATAAGTAATTCATCGTCTGTCATGTCGAACTCATAATCATCGCTGGTGGTAGTTATGCCATCGTTGTTCCGACAAAGCACGTTGCTGTCATCAGTATCCGGATATATACCGATTACGTCGTCCTCCCCTCGATCAGGCAGTGACAAACAAGAACTCTCAACATGTGGTGCTTTCTTCGCGTCTTGAACATTCATTCGCACGGTTTCTGAGTCAAGAGTGCTCATCGGAGTCACATGCAAAACTTCAGGTTGAGCAAAGTATGACTGGGGCAAAGCGTGGTTGTCCATGATTGATCTACTGTCATTTGAGTCATAGGTAGCCTGAGAATGTTGAGTGCCGTACAGGGTAGGTGCGGGTGTCGATACTGCAGGTCTGTCTGGAGGCTCTCTTGTGCGGGAGCTGCGCTGTATAATCTTGTCATCAGCCCGTCTTACACGCTTTCGCCCAGACTCGACTGGTGGACTGTCTGGTCTTGCTGGCTGTGGTGCATAGTTTTTGAGATGATCTGGCTCAATGATGCTGCCCAAGCCGAGGTATCGAGCAACACTTGGATTGTGCCGTCGTCGCGGGCTGCTGATCGCCCGTGATGAGGCTGGGTTCGGCCGGACTGATGTGGCCGCCGATGATTCGGGCGTCAAGAGCTGTTCACGATGTACCGGCCCATGGTTGATTGCTGTAAAGCCAGAAGAAAATTGAGGCAGGCGAGATTGCCTGCAGGCTTCGTGTTAGTTTATAATAGGGAAAGGCAAGGAGTTTGAAGTGATGAATGCAGGCGTTCCGGGCTTCTCACGCGTCATCGATGTTCTTCTCTATCGCCATCTTAGTCGTTCTTTCACTGCACAGATTGTATTCCGTCTCTGTAGAGTTGATCGCGAGTCAGATGATATGCAACAGATAGTGAAGATTGGGGCCCAAGAGTTAGTTGGAGGGAGGGAGTAGGTAATGGGCGCGTGGGCGTGACTTCCTTACTCAGCCCCCCACTGCGGGGTGACCTGCTTCCGGATCAAGGCAGCGATAGCGTCACTCGCATACCGCGTGTACGTACAACATCTTCCCTTCATAGAACACGAACTCTCCAGTCCTCGGACAACTCTCTTTTTCCGCACGTTTCGCCTGCACGTGTTCTCCCCAGTCCATGTGCTGTTCTATTCTTATCTGTAACACCAGATCCCTACCCCCAAATCAGCTTCCAAACTTCTTCCAAACCGTGGTGAGGAAACCGATTCACCTATCTGTGCAGATCTGCAGCACTTCGTAACAGCAGAACGAATATTCCATTCACGACTATTTTGCTTTTTCTGTACCCAAATATAGCAGCTGTCCATCTCAAGGCCATCGCAAATGCCGGTAAGCTACATTCACGTTCAGTCGCATACAAAACCACCTGAACCCCAGAATTGCCCCCTTCCATCAGTATCCCCCTTCCCATTCCCTGCGCCGCTCGTCCTAAATTCCCCTTCACTCAGCCATGGTCCCCAAAGTCCAGCGCATCGATGTTGAGCCACTTGTTGCTGGCCAGTCGCCGGGCCGTCCTTCTGTCACCTATCGCTACTATTCATGTGACCCCCAAGGCCTTTCTTCCCCAAAGCAGAGTTTACCTGAATCAGGCAAATTCAAAGTTCTCTCTACTATCAAGGGCCTGCACTATCACAAAGAGCCAGAGACATATGCAGAACTACCCATATCCGAAAACCCTTGTCCTTTATGTTTCTTTGAACACTGTCACAAGTCACTAAAGTCCTGGTTCCGGCAATAGAAGCACGTGTTTTCGGCCGTAACGGTCCAGATTGACCGACTGACAAGCGAGCAATATGAAGAAAATGTAAGTCCCACAAACTGCCTACATATTCGGTGCTAAGTGGCTTAGGATATTGGTGGAGTTGTTGACCTCATTGAGGTTATCCGCATCCAAGCATCTGGACCAACAGAAGCAGCTCGAGCTTTGCGCAAGAAGCTGTGAGTTAAGACTTGGCCTAGCTAATATTGGGTTCTAACACCACTACAGCAAATATGGCAATGCACATCGCCAAATACGCGCTCTTGTCATACTGGATGCATTGATCCAGAATGCGGGTACAAGATTCCAAAAAACGTTTGCAGATGAACCCCTCTTGGAGCGACTTCGTATCTTGGCCAGAGACGATACAGTAGATCCTGATGTACGACAGAAAGCCAATGTCTTGTTTCGCGGGTGGGCAGCGGAGTACAAGGGAAAACCTGGCCTCGAAAGAATAGCGGCGCTGCACAAGGAGCTACCTCGAACTAAACGCCCGCAGCCGCAACAGTCTCGTATAGTGCGGCAGCAAGACGCTGAAGCGGCTCGCGAACGTGAGGAGCACTCTCAATCTCCTCCTAGAAATAGGTGGTCCGAACCGTCGCATAGTTCGTCTTCCAGGACGAGTGCTCCTGTTGCACCCGGCCCCGGTACCTCTACTAGTTCTTCATTGTTCAGCAGGAGGGACAAGAAAGACAAGAAGACCAAGCGACAGCCGTTCAATCTCGAAAGAGAGAAGGGACAGATGCTCGAAACCATCGCATCAGCAAACGTTGCCAGCACGAATCTGCTGAATGGGTTGCAGCTTATCAATCGTGAGCAACAGCGAGTCAGCGAAAACGCAGAAGTCATGCGCCGCTTCGAGACGTGCAAACAACTCCGTCGTCAAATTCTGCGCTATATTCACCTTGTTGAATCGGAACAGTACATTGGTGGTCTGCTCAATGCCAATGATGAGCTGGTCAAGGGACTAATGGCATTTGAAATCATGGACAAGAGTATTGATGACGACAGCGACAGCGACAACGAGGCAGGCAATGTTTCCGCTGCTGAAGCGGCCATGGCCAACATGGACATGAATGAGGCTCCTCCACCAAAGCCACCGCGACCCACGAGCATCCCCATGCCTTCTCCCGTGACCAATAAGCAGCCTGTTGAATCGGACAGCGAGCCTGAAGAAGACGAGAACGATCCATTTGGTGATAGCAACGGTAAGCTTCCCACAACCAACATCTCAAGCAGGACTGACTTTCTGCAGCAATCAAGACGCCTTTCGTAGAGAGAGGCCAGCCAACTTGGAGAGATGTGTAGGGTCTTGGATGTAATTGCGAAAGGCTATGTTTTGCGTCAAGGCACAGTGTGGGATTCTCTTGATCGTTTTTCGCGATACCATTTCTTATGGGTTCACCAACTGATTAGATGTGAAAACAATTTAATTAACTTGAAAATCGCTACGTTTCTCTCCCATTCTTCTCCGACATGTATCCATCTCAGAATGCGCAGGCGTCAGCCACGTTCACAGCCACGCGGGCGACGTCATGTCGGCGCTAGCGTCGGCATATCATTGGCCTAGCGCCACGCGCAGCAGCATTGAAGCAGGGCCAGGAAACCGTTATACGACAACCTTAATCTCCCTCTGTCCCTCTCTCTCTCAAACCCCCAACTTGTACTTTCTCCACGTATCCACCTCTTTCTTCTATCCCACCACCAACACTGTAAGTCCGCCAAAATGCGCTGTTGTGCGTCCTCAAAACAGCTCAGGGAAACTCTCTCTAACAACGTCATAGCGCAACTTCGATCTACATCCCTCAATACTTGCGCCCCTACACACCACTACTCCTGTGTCCTCACAAGCTCTCTACATCTCGATCGTATACCCGAACATTAAATCGCAAGACCGCAACCATGCCTGCCTCGGCCACTCCCTCCATCTCTTCCACCGCCGGCTCTATCGTCAAGCCCCAGGGCGGCAAATGCAGCTGCATTAGCACCGATGATTGCAGTTGCTGCTGCATTCCTTGCACCGTTATGTAAAAAAAACCTCCATGGAAAGCCGAGTGAATTATGGGGCGATATTAATCGATGAACGGTTGTGTTTTTGAGGGAGTAAACATTTGAGCGCGCATATACATACCATGGGTTGCTTTTTTTGGAGTTTGGAAAGATTGGGGGTGTACTTGATGACCTCTTTGGCTGGACCCCTGGCCGGGGGTGGTTGAGTAGCAATATTATATTGCAGCTTTTTCTTTTCTACTAGATGTGTCTCTTTGCTTTGCGTGTGCTGTGTGAGCGCGTTTCATGGTGATGAGATCATTTGATTATGTCAGTAGTTCAGGAGTCCGAGTGGTTGTTTGTTATGGCTTGTGAGGGTTTGAATGGAAGTTGTTGATGAAGTTGTATGTGCATGTATAAACAAGGGAAAGTGTAGCAGTTGGGGGGGTGCGGCCAGGGGATATGGAATAGCTTATGTGTAAAGAACTAGAACGCTGAGATGAGACTGAACAGAGTATTCAATGCATGCCAGATAAGCTTCCTGGGCATGAGAAATGACAATGGTGGTATAAATGGCGATCAACCCCACAAAGAACCACCTCGAGCATTACTCGTTCAGCTTAACGACACCCAGCTTGTACCAATGCAGTCATACACACTGGCATGAAAGTATGATTTCAGCATGCACCAGATATTCATCCTTGTGTTCAATTTGACTCTAGATGCATTGAACCTTGTTTTTTCTTCTCCCAGTGAGACGGTGAGACTGGCTCTTAGAACAGTGTTTTGGTATTACCAACTCTCACTTTAAACCGTCATCTTTGTCTGTCAAACCAATCAACACCTCTTTCTTTTCCCGTGAGTCTGAATGCAGCATCGACAGAAGGGTGTTGCAATACCGCTATGCCGTGGCGTAAGCAAAACCACTGTTCTGCCAAAGAGACCTTCATCGTTCTTTTGCTTTCCCCAGTCTACGTTCGGTGAGGTTGGTATTTTGCGTAGGCTAGACTGATTGATACGAAGTTCGATCGAGCAAGAGCAAGACACATGACTTCGCGTCTCCAAGTGCGAATGAATTTCGCAGGTGTAAATGACACATCCTCCGTTTAAATATCTTCTTCGATGGTCTGGTAACGCCGCAACCACAGGGATGCGGAAATTGAGGCTATGGCGGTTAAAACAGGGGTTCTTTTTGGTGTGATACTAATGCGCGTCGGATTTAATTTCTTGTTTCTTTTGGGGGAGAAGGACTTTTGGCTGTGAGTATAGAGGGTGAGATTGGATGCGACTAATGGGGTGATGTAGTGTAGATCGACACGATTTGTAGGGCGGGTGACGCCGTGTGGGGTTGTGGTCGTTGTTGTTGTGTGAGGACTGGAGTGGTGACGATTGGAGGGGGCGAGAGGATGCGATGAGCTTGATAGCGGCTCGTAGGTAGCTTTGGAATACACGATGTCTACTCTATTGCGTTCTGGCTGTGCTTGCGGTTTCTATTCAACTGTGGTGAGAATTTTGTATATGGATCCAGAGTTTCATCTTTGTTCTTCTTGCCGCAACTACAATTGGCCAGACCGCAGCTCGAAATGAGGTTTGCTTGGTAAGATTGACTGATTGTTAGCAACAAGGTAAGAGCCAAAAAGTACTGGGAGTAATGAGACTGATACTAAAGAAAAGTGCGGGAAGTCGATCGACTGATCAAGGAACTGGTGACTAGAAGGGGTAACAGGCTCATGTTAATCTGAACTTATGTGTATTTGATTCTGTTCCTTTAGCAGCTACTTAGCGAGTAATCGTCGTGAGCGATCCGGCATCTGACAGTGCGAGAAGTTCATCTACCTGAAACTGGAAAAGCGGAGAACAAGATTTCAGCGTTTGCCTAACGATATCGTATGCGTGGGCAGCTAATGGATCATTGTCTTGCATAGCCTTTAACCAGCAAAGCAACCTCTGGAGTGAAGGTATCACAGGAAACTTTTGCTCTCTCTTGCCTTGCATGTTGTAGGCCATTTCTAGCAACAAGACTGTGATTGCTTGCATTACTGGAGATAGGAAGTTAGTGCATATTGTCTACTCTTGTTCGGCTTACTAACTGATATGGACAATTGCCCACCATGGACCCTCCTTGTACACGAAATCCGTATTGAGCTGGACGGGAAACATCTTTGCCAATTCCAAAGCAGCAGTGATGCATGATTCAGCCATCTTTGTATCGAAATCTGCTGAGGTGCTACTTTGATTTTCGACACGCCATCCCAAACTGCGAAGACATGGTTGCGTAATAAGTACCTTTGTGCTCCAGTAATCCATTCTTAAGAGGAATTGCTGGCGGTTAGAGTCGGTTGCGCGGCTATTGTATTTTGTTTCCGGGCTTTTGGAAAGTGCTGCTGTGCTCCATTTGTTGAGGTCATTGAGAAGGTCCGAGATCGTCGTTTGTATAGACTGTGGATGTGTAAGTACGGCGGATGACAATGAGAGCAGCATGTAGTAAATGAGAAGAGCTTACCTCCCAAGACTGAGTAGCAGTCTGTGGCGAGTACAGATACCGTTGAATCTTTCTTGTGAGGCGTGCAATCTCGATACGGGTGATGAGATATGACTTGTTGCTTGATGCATCCTCTTCAGACTCATGATTAGGTAATGGCACTGTACAGTATTCTTCGGTGATTGCTGGAGGCCTGCCCATGATAGCGTTCAACAGAGTTTCGATGCAGTATGCAGCCCACCATGTGTGTGTCAGCGTATCTTGCTCGAGGTCAACCGATTCAGTGGCTGTGTTGCGGAGGTGTAGGCCTAGAGCAATTGCGTGGCGTAGCGAGACACCGATAAGCGCCCAAGCTCTATTCACATGGCCAATTGTGAGAAGGTAAAAAGACATTGAGCAAGCCTGTAAAGTTTAGTGTCACTATAAACTAACAAAAAGCGAAGATGGAGGATATGGTTCACTTACCGCTTGCACAAGCTCTAAACTGGGAGATGGAAAAACTCTGAGAGAGCTTTCAAATCTAATGAGATGAACAGCTCTCATCATATAATACCCATGATCGCTCTCATCTGCTCTCCATTCTGCGCTCGTAAGGTGAGAACACTTTGCGCCTATCGCGAAGATCAAGTTCAACTGAGCTCGCCATGCGTCGGACATGTTGAAGCTGCGTTTTCCTCTGACAGATTCAATATATGCACGGAATTGGTGCTCGAAGTTTGCATTTACCTAGAAAAAACGAGACCATGTTAGCATGTCTTTCATTCAAAATGTATTTATATTGACTCTTACAAGCGGAAAAGATGAGTGGACTGTGTTGATATAGCAGCCGAAAAGCCGTTCTGCAGTCTCGACATTCGGGAGTTCGTAGGGATCTATGAATACATCTGTGGCTATGTCGGAGCTGTTGAGATAGAATGAGGTGTCGGTCGTATGTTTCCAAGTGCCCTGTGGTGAAACCTGCTGGACATTGCTTTTACGCTCAGGGATGGTGTCAGGCCGCGTCCTTTTCGTATCTCGATCTGAGGTTTTTATGATATATGCTGGGATACACGGCTCGGCTTTGATATTTTGCAGTTGTCGCTGCACATTGAGCAACCACTGAACTTCGGAGGCTTGGCCGACGTAACCAGTTTCTCTCGATTTGTGACTCCGAGTCAAGTCCTCAAACAAGTTGTCAAGGCTTTGGTTAGATCCGATAGAGCCGCTTACAAGCGCCTCTCCATGTTTTGGTGCCCTTCGGAGTTCTTTATAAGGTAGTTGATTTCGTTTCCCTAGAGTAATTAAAGGCGACTCTGGGGATTGTAGCTTCGCATACTCTTCTACCTATCAACGAAATACACAGTTAACTTCCTCACTATGCTAAAGAAGTATTCTTCACCACAGGTGAACATACAATATCTAGAACGTCTTGTATCTTTTGCCTGGATTCGTCATCGAGGTGCTTGTTCATGTCCCAGAGCAGGGTAGCGAGCGTATGGTTTAGTTGTATCACTTTACGCAATATTAGCAGACAAAGAAGCGCTTGCAGATTCAGGAAAGTATACTCATCGAGGCGGTCACGCCGACTCTGCTCGTATACACAAGTCCTTCCAGCAGCGTCGCAGTTTTGACATCTCGGAGTAGTGCCCGAACATTTCATCCCTATGACAAAGTGAGTTCACACCTTGTCAAGCCTTTTCCGCGATACGCACTACGCTGGCGGCAAATCTTGCAGGCTTTTCTCCTACAAAATTTTGTTATTACTGGGGAGGGCAACGCAACTTGGCGTAACATACACGCGATCTTCTTGGTCTCTTGTATTCAATCCCGGGCGTGGCTGCAGCCGAGGAATGGCCATTTTCCGCTTTTCGTTGCGGCCGTCGGAGTCGACCATTGTATGTTGTGATGTTCAAGTAGTTAAGGCTTGGAAATGTTATGTTTTGTCGGTCCAATGGGGTCTTTCGATCTTTACCGGAAGATTCTCCATTTAATATCCGTGATTGCTAAAGCTGGAAGGAGCGATTTGCGAACGGGTCATTATAAGATGCGGGGATGGCAGCAATCATGAAGCTTTTGCAGCAGTACAAGTATTGGTAGACTCCAAAACCTAAATGTACTTGCTATGTGTATCGACGAGGAGCTTGCGGTCTAGGAGCACTGTCAATTATTGGCGGGAATGATCGGAACGAATCCGATACGGCTCCGCCATTTACAAAACTTGATCGGCGATGTAAGCGACAGAGTAGCGTGGGTATGCTAGTCTTACTATTTGTACTTGATCCTTGTTCAAATGGTACATGCTGCTTTTGTGTTTTTGTATCGATCTTCGACATATGCTATATCTGTTGCTTACTGCATCCTGAAGCCTGCTCGAACGTATGCACAGTATTACAAGCGTCGCAAAAAATTCCTCAAGTGGGGGGATCGTGTTGCAGGACCACGATCCATTGTCTGCAAGAATCGTTACAGAGTTTGACGTCCGGAAGTCTATGTGCTCATTCATCGTCGGTATGGCAAAGACTGGCTGAAGTGCTAATTGTGGGTCGCGACATTGCCACATCAAATGCGATAGGGATCATATAACTGTATGTGTCACGAGAGGAATGGTTCGATCCTCCAATTGAGTTCTGACTACGCAAATGTGTGATGGGGTAAAAGAGTAAGAACCACCGAGATCTCAAGTACTGCCATCATAAGGTTAAGCAGCATAGCACATCGTGAAGCGAAACCACCAACAATATGGTCAGCAATATGATATCATTTAACTTCCAGGACAAGAAAACCTCCTAGCTTGCATACGCACAACATCATGACTTGCTGGCATTCAAGTGTCGCCAAGAATCCCGCAAGAAACACACGTACAGTCTCCCTTCTCCTACTTGTATGTACCGCTTCTCAGATGCAATTCCACTCAGCGTCCTCAAGCAGCTTCTCTATGTATATTTTGAAGCCGGAAACGGTGGGTGTTGCCTCGGGACAATACTGCCTCGACATGAATCAAGGGAGAATGATCTTCAAAAAGAGAGTACCCACTCTTAATAGTCTTTCCCTCCACAATAGAGAAAAATAAAAAACATTAATTTGTGCATTATGGCACACGTAGCCAGCAAACAAAGAGCATGAGGTTGCAAAGAAAGCCGAGGAAGTAGTGGTAGTTCCCCGCTCCGCTCCGCCTAGCTTATCTTTTTACCCTCACCTTCTTTAATTTCCGAACCGCACCAAAAATAAGGCTGCCAGAGCAGCGGTCCCATCCTTGCAGTGCGAGATCAAATCATAATTGGATAGGCTAAGTCGCTTTCTTTTTTGCTTCCAGCCTTAGCATGAGCGCGTACCGAAACACCGGAAATCTGATAAATGGCATGTCATCAGACCATGAGTGCAGATTCCAAGAGTCTTAGGTGGGGTAAGAAAAGTTGAGTGGGGTCTCTCCAGGGACCCCTTTGTCCATTGAGGGCTAGGTGGGGTCAGACGACTGTATACACGCTTTTGTCAATCTATGGAGACAAAGACAACCGAGAATAGAAAGGTTATGCGCATGAGTGTTATTTCCGTATTATGCATTTGAATAAAATCAGCGGGGTGCAGCTATACCGAATTCTTGCATGCAGACCAAAGTGGTTTGTTGAATCTATTTCTCAACCAGAATTGGTGGATATCGAACTGAAATACTGAAAGTGTGTGGTATCATAAAATGCGGCAAAACGCAGAACTCGAAGAAGTAAAGGTAGAGATAACAGCCTGTGAACGCAGAATAGGCCGCTCCCGTGACTAGCTTAGCGCCTTGTTCTCCAAATGGTATCATTACTGTCGTATCCTCAGACGTGCCATCGTGAATGAGGTTGCTTTTTGAGCTTCATCAAGAAGCAGCATAGACAATGATCTGGCCGTCAGACATGGCCATGGTGTTTGTTGTGGCCTTCCGTGTCTCCGTGGCGCATGCATCGTCGTCGTCTCCGGAGTCAACGTGTCCTGCAGCGCCCTCGATCCGTCTCAGTGAGCCAAAATGTATCCTGAAAGTCTTCACTTGGTGCCACTTGTGATGATGGTAGTGGTTTGAGGAGTCTTGTGTGGGATATGGAGACCCTTTTCGATGTCGCGCATCTTGTTGGTGTTCTTGCCCGGGGGCGGAGAGTTGAGGCGAATACCAGTGCGTCGATCCGAGCGGTTTTGCTTGTTGTCGACAGTTGAGCGGCCGGTAAAGCGACGAGAAGCGCGGCGAATGGATGCTCGAACGTCCCACTGACGCTTCTTTGCGAGCCACCAGAGAACCCCAGATGCGACTGGATGTTTGTTAGTTCAAGCATGTTTGAGAAGTGGAGTGATGAATGTACTTGAGCCTAGAACGACAACGACGGCTACTACGATAATAGCAGCAATGGCACCACCTGACAAAGAGAAAGCACCCTTTTGCGAGCCTGCAGCGCCAGCATCGCTAGGGTCTTGCGGGTTGTCGCTGCCTCCATTGTATCCTGGAGGCGGGAGGCTGCTGCCCGAAGACGAATCCTGCGCCAGGGCTAGCAGAGGGAAGAGGAGCGAGAGGAGAAGAGGCCCGTTCATGATGGTGCAGACGGGAATGTTGGAATGCGGCACAACGGAGAATTGATTGAGTTTTTGGTGACACCAGGATGGCGTGAAGGGCGTTCGATCAACTGGATAGATACCAACAACTCGCTACCAGCACGGAGGGCAGGTCCCTATATTTGCATGGCTGCGCGCACATCTCTTTTACCCAAACCGCTGCCTTCTCCAATCGTCGTCCAACACCCCGCCAGTCTCAGGCTTTGTCGGCGGTTAGCATCGTGCGCTTGGACGGCAGACCAGGTTGGCTGTCGGGAGGGCCCATCAGGCCATCTTCTTAATATAGCGGCATTGGCGTCGAGTTTTGTCGGCTTGGGAGCGTAAGCTGCGCGGATTGGCAGGGCGTAATGGGTCGTGGGCGCGTAATGTGGTGGATGGACGTGACGGTGCAGCGAGGCTAACGAGATGGCGCTGCTGATTGGCCCGACCCTGGCCTCAACCGCCCTGCTAGCAATGTCGCCGCCTCTTATGTTTCAGGGATGCCAGCCAGCGACGACTCTTGATCCTCTATGGCCACCGGGCTCCAGTGTGATAGCGGCCCCATACTGCAGTCGGTGAAGCCGTAGTATGTAGGTATTTTTGCCTTGTGTCTTGACTTTGAGTCGTATCCAGCTTCTTGCTATAGCAGAACGTGCCACTGTTCGGACAATGCTGTGGAGACGATTCATGCAAATATCCGAAAGTCTTCTGGTTCGTCGTGAACAACGTTACTAGCTGTCGTGATAAGGACCACTCATCGGTAGCGCCCACTCTTGGTTGCGCAGAGCATAGGAAATGAGGCCATGTTGTGTGCAGGTATTTCCGTCCCTTCATTTGTAGCACAGGGCGGCCTGAGCCATTGATGGCCTGTCGAGATGATCTTTGCAGGTGCAGGAATAGTAAGAAAAACATACTGCAAGGGCTGAACAAGAGTTACTATGGAGTGGGGACTTGATTTTTGGCATGCTGATCAGTAGTACCCTGATCTTCAGCTGTCGGCTACAGTCACGTGTCTACTACCCAATACGTTGTAGCACACCAACTCAAGTTCCAACAAGCATTACATCTCAAGGTTGTCTGAACCCAAACAAACAGCCACAGAAAAGAAGAACAGCAGTAGAAGCCACGTAAGCCTAGCAGGACACATGCAGCAGTGGTTTTGGATGAGGATGCATCACAGGTAAAGGTAGGCTATCGCCTCTGTGTAGACCTTAGACATGAGGCTTCATAAGTGAGTATTGTCGGGTAAAATCAACCCTCTGAATACGCCAATATAACTCTTCATTCTCGCCCGTTGATTATCCTCAACTTGTGTGTACCGCATCTACCACTAAAAGAGGTGCGTTACCAAAGGCAAGCGCCATTTCCTCATCACGACCAGGGAAGGCGTGGAGAGAATGGCAACCCTTCAAGCTTTGCTACCCCTCACATCTGCCACATAACCTCTCCTTCCACCAGAAACGTTCCCAAGCACTGCCCTTCAGAATTCTCGTTGCCTATTGCCTCTCACTGTTCATTGCATCACGCCTGCTGTTCACAAACCCCATGGCCGACCAGACTGCTCGAAGTCGCATGCCTCTAAAGGGACAGAAGCCCTCTCGCCTTCGTCATGAAATCCGAACAGACTCAGCCGACGACAGGGGAGAAAGCCATAACCCTGCTGTTCAAGAGCCGCACAGCGACGTGGTCATCCCCGATACCCAATTCGACTCCAGCAGATATGCCAAGGAATCTTTGGCAAGCCATGACCCCACATCCGATTTGCCCGATATCCCCTTGAGTCCGAATTCGCTAGCCACCCTTAATCGCTTCGGAGCGTCGAAAAAGACAAGCGTTTTGGACTCCGATCTAGTTATTTTCAAGACTTTCACAAAGAACCCTCTTGAAATTGAGAGTGTATCAGCCTTTACACCCCATGTATTCTCTCACAGACGGCCCGTTGTGCATAAAAGCTAGGTACAGTCAGCGAACCAAGAGAGCGGCAAACAGGAATTGCATGGTAGAGCAGATACCATCTTCCTATGCATCAGACTCACGTGTGAATAGACAACCCTCCACTCGCCGGTGCGGCAGCTGTCCCTTTACAAGGAGGCACAGCCCTAGCAAAAGGTGTGCAGGATAACGCACGAGCCCAAGCACTGGAATTGCATAGTTCATTGCCTAAACTTCTAACGACCTGCTCCCTTGATAACGAACCCGAGTAAGACATCACGCTATTTGGCAAATGGCTTCGCTGACAATTTTAGAACCACACAGAGGAGAATAACACTTCCCTTTTCACCTCTGTCACCTACAGATATCAAAACAAGGGGCCCACCAAAGAGCAATGCCGGTCTCAAGAAATACAAGGAGCACTCGAAGAAATCGCCAACCCAACAAGTATGTGGATCATGGCCTCTTCTACAAAACCAATCTTCTGGCCATATCCAGAAATTCAGCAACACCGGTGGAGCTGTACCTAATAGATTTACCCAGCTACCCGACCTTTCTTCGGTCCAGACACACAATAGCCAGCCCCAAGTTCTTTGCGAAGTTAATGCGGAGTTTCCACTTGTCACTAGTTATCACAAGAAACTTGCGCCCGGCTGTCAAACTTATGAAGCATATGCCCAGAAAGAAACTCATACTGAGCTTGGTACAGTAGCATACGATGAAAAGACAGGTGTGCCTCGAAGCATGCCTCTGGGTCTCTCGGATACATCGGCGCAACCCGCCCTTCCAACTTCTGCTTTGCAGCCCTCGTCTCTTGTCAGTAGACAGCTCCTTGTCACCGAAGCAGGCGAGCAATCCCTACCAGCAAGCCATGATGAGGCCAAAGGGTCTCAGTGCAATATGGGCAGTGCTAACCACCAAGATCCTATTTCATCTGAAAAGGCCCATGATGATACTGTACCAAATTCCAGTGAACGCAGAAGCGATCACCACGAGTGTCAGTCTCAAATGTATCCAAGTCACAACACTAAACCACCTATTGCACGAACTGTGACATCTAAGGATGTATCGCATGGGACTTCGAGCCGAGGAAGATCAGATCACGTAACCAAGCCACGAGGCAATCTACGTGGAGACAGCAAATCTACATCCAAATTCTTCAGAGCATCCACGTCACCTGCTATCGAACGCTCGGTTGAGGACTTGAGACTGGCGCTCTTGGCAGAAAGCTTCCGAAAGCATCATGAGTACACCACACAACTGGAAAATAGCCAAGAGCAGATCACCACACTTCTCCAACAAGTTAATCGCCAGAAAGAGATAATTGCAGATTACATGAATCAGCAAGATAAGCAGAAGAAGACATTGAGTAGTTTGACTAGCAAAGCGAAAACTAACCAAAAGTTCTTGGAAGGCCTCCGGAATGACTACGAAAAGCTAAAAAAACTGGCCACAATGACTGAGGAACACAACAAGAAGATCTTGCAGGCAAAGATTACCGAAATCGAAGAGGAGAGACAGGATATTGTGAAAGAGTTTGAAACGACCACTTACAAACTCTCAAACAGTCAGAGGAAAATGAGGGCGGTGGCTAATGAGCTCCATATACAACTTGCTGTGGCCAATTCGGTGAACAAAACCTTGACCGAAAGATTGAACAAACTGGAAGTAGAGTATACAAGCGAAAGGGACAAGCGAGAAAAGATCGAGAACGAAGTCTTCCATCGAGTTCAAAGCCTGCAACGCCAGTTCAACAGCGGCTCGAATCTCGTAGCGAAGAAACTAGAGCTGTTCCAAAATTCGATCGAGAAGGCTGCCGAGCACAATCCCCAAAACCTCAAAATTGAAGAATGCCTCAAGATACTAAACAACCTACAAAAGGAGTCTATCTTGACGTTGGAAGACACCCATAAAGCAGAGGGAATGTTGCGCTTCGTCCAAGAACTGTACGTGGCACCCCGACTTAAAAGGAACCGCTGTTCTGACACGTGAAACAGCATCGAGTCTGGTCTTGAAGACTTTTCACAAGCGTTTGTTCGCAGTGCCCCATCCAATACAAATTTTCACGCATCGATAAAAGAACAGCTAGATGATTTGCGAACAAACATGATGAGATATGAAGAGATCGCTGCCGAGAATCGTAAGATCAATGACTCAAATACGGCAATCACGAAGCAGTTGATAGCCCAGCAGCATGAATGCTCTCGCCTCAGCAAACGAGTTGAACATCTACAGCAGGTTGAGATAGATCTGAAGCAACATTCTCGCGAACTGGAGTGTGACCTAAATGATTTGAAGATGGCAACTGACTCATCTCGCTTGGAGTTGTCAGCATCTGAAAAGCTCAACCATGACTTGCGCCAACGGCTCAAAGAAGTTGAAAATGAACTAAGGTCAGCCAGCAAAAAGATTGATAACGGAGAACAATTGCGACAGGATCTTCAGAAGGAAGCAACTGAGTACAAGGTAATACCTGTGATTCTCAAATAGAAGCATGAACTTGACATATCACAGAAACGTTTCGAGGCTGCGCAAAAAGAGAGAACAAAAGCGGTTCAGGAGCATGTGGACGAGGTAAGAAAGGCAAACTCATGAGAACATCATCATTAATTTACTTTGTAGAAGCAGAATGCTGCAATAATCCGTGACTCAATCTTGAAGGAATACGAACTCAAGCTGGTTGAAAAAGAACACGAATATATATGTGAAATCAACCGACTCCAGCTCAACGTTAGCGAGAAAGAGATGTTTCACCGCAACCTGAATGAAAGGCTTAGCACTGCAAACGAGCAGCTTGTGGAGCTTAAGAAGGAGCTTAAGGGTCAGCATTATGAAAAGACTGAATTGCAAGTTCAATTATCGCAACAGCAGTCTGACATGAAGGTCCTGCGTCAAGAGACAGATGATCGAATCTCTCAAAGTGGACGAGACGCTCAGAATGAACTGCAATCGAGCCAGGACAAGATCAAGGCACTAGAGGGAGAAAACCAAACCCTCCTTTCCAGGCTAGAGAAAGCTCGCGTAGGTGAGGAGAGAGCGAAGGAAGTCGAAACGTCTTTGCACGCTGAGAAGACTTGTATACAAGAAGAATTGTGCAACCTACACTCTGTGCTCGAAGACAAGAACAAGGAGATGACACAGATACGAAAAGAAGCTGCAGATGAAAACCGAAAGCTTATTGAAGCACATAGCAATGATGTTCAAGATTATAGGCGCCGCTTGGCTGAAACGAACGCTATTTTGAAAGAAGTTGAGGCGAAGTGTATGTTATTGGAAGCCCAATATCAGAATCAGATTGCGGAGGAACGAAAGACAGCTGAGTCCAAGTTGCTCGCACTAGAAAAGGAATGCAGCAATGCGCTCCAAGAAGCCAAAGATCAGAGTACGCCGAGCCAATCGCATAGCATTTATGACACGACTCCAAGCCTGTTCAACGCCCAATCTGACCAGAATATACCTATCACCAAACCTCGAAAGAAGGTGAATCGGGATAATCGGTCGGTAATAGAGTCTACCCAGGAGCGGACTGGTGGCCTCCAGTTTCCGTCACCTGTCCGTGCCGAGGTTTCACAAGCCCAATTTATTGACCCAGATCTATTTTCGGCTCTTCTTGATGAATTTGACGGTGTCCAGTCAGACGCAATCAATGGCAGTTCAATCTTCAATCATGGCTCCAATGTAGTCTCAGGAACCCAGGATCTAGGAGATTCGACACTTTCACAAATGCTTTTCTCAGAAAGCGCTGTTCAAGCTACACCACAAGATAACTCGCATCGTTCTTTAAGCTCAACCGAGCTAACCAACATAGCATCAGACGAGCTGACACAAATGCAGAGAGAAGTGGAGTCTCTCTCAAGACCCAAAGTCCACAGGCAGGGTTCCAACTCAAATAAGCCTGGGAAGTCTCTGGATACCCGAAAAGTGAACTCAATCCATATGGACAGAGCCCCCACGAAGAGCTCTCATTCATCCTCATCGCAAGAACGACCCAGGTCACGAGCCAATACATCATCTCGGATGATGCCTCGGGGCAGTTCCTCTCAACAAATCCAAACCCCACCTAGGTCTCGAATTATTCGAATCAAGCTACCTAATCATTACAAAAGGTTCGACGACAACCTCGAAAATCTCAGCGGCAGCGGTCCTCCTGATACGCGCAAACGTGATAGAAGCCAGACTGAAAGGGATTTGACCTCGAAGAGGCAACGTGGATTACCCGCAGCTAGATCCGGAGCCTCTTCTTCTGACTCCCGGGAACACTCTCCGCGTTCTTTTAGTCAGTATGTTGCGGACTTGGGTTCATTCGAGAGAGATGTGCCATATACAAACTGCACTCCCTCAAAATCGTCCCGTCCAAGGTCCCAGGAATATTCTTTTGAGACTCAAAGTCGTACTCGCAGCAAGGTTTCTCCAGATAAGGCTCATACATCCCGTAGACAAGCATCTTCCAAGCCATATACTGCTCTACCCACGCGTCACTTTTGTCGAGTCACACGTAGTAAGAGTGAGCACAGCGTATTCGGAGACCTTCAGTGTTTCATGGATACTAATTTGAAGGTGTAGGCAGAAACGGTACAGCATTCGGAGATGATTTTAGTGACAGATTCAACGAAGAGCTACAAGGATAGCATTGATCATTCGACACGTCTTCTATTGGCGCCTGGGTGTGACGTGCGGATTATTGCGCTTTTCGCTCGACCACTGGGGTAACTCAACAGAGACATGCTAAGCCAGTGTACAAACCACTTAATTGAAACGAAAACATGAGGAATAAGTCAGGGAACTGAGGGTGGTGACTTCAAGTCTTAACAATCTTTTGCGACATCAATAGGAGACGAATCGCTCATCCAATACCGCATACATACCTATTTCGGGTTTCATAGCAGGTTTGTTGATATTATTGAAATTTGTGGCGAGAATCTCAATATGCGGTATGGAAATAGGAAAACACGAGAGAAAAGAGAAGTTCAAAGGAGATTTTCGTACGAGGAGATAACAGCTAGCAGAGATACTGGGAGGTATATATCAACTACGCATGACTCGCAAACGCACGAGACGAAGATATCTATAGCAAAAGCAATCAAAAGCAATCAAAAGCAATCCTCTCGTAGACCTGTAGTATGAGAGCCTCGAAGCCTATTGAAAAGTGAAAAGTTCTTACAATCTGGTCGCATATTGCAACTGATTGCCGAGTGCGAAGCGAGGCGGAGGCGAATGGCGGCGATGGAGACCTCAATCAACGCTCATTGGCTGACGAGGGCAACGCCGCAGAACTTCGGCTTCACAACACCAAACTATCCACCTTGGACACGACCACCATTGACGCCGACACGATATATACTCGCGCGTCGCTATGGCGAAGAAAGGTATGCAAAATCCCTGCAACTTTAGGACGTGCCCATTGTCGCCGTCCTACACTCCCGATAGCTGGTCAACGTTCCCCCGCGACTGTCGCAAGTTTGCACCGTATATGCGCTGACAGCAGCGCTCTACAGCAAAGTCCCGTACCATCATGGTGCGCCTCATATCAATGGCAATGACGGGATACTACCGAACCATGCAAAGACCGCGCGCCCACCAGCCACTGAGCATGCTTAAATACGATCCCATCGGTATGAGACCCTCTCTACTATCAATTCTGACGACAAAATTGAAGCTTCGGCTCCTTGCAAAATGTTCCCTCTATGATTTCCGGTATATGCGACAGGACGAAAACGTGGAGGCTACTTTGAGGGCAATGCGATGGCCGAATGATGGCTGATAAGTTGGCAGTTCGGAAACAAGTCCTTTTCCTCGAAGCTAAACGCGGCAAGAAATAATATCACACACCATACACGATACCACCGCACGCGATAAGACTACAAACAATTTGGGGGTGAAAACATTGACTGAATTCTCGCATAGAGTTGCGGGAGGCGAACGCCGTGGATTGCCGCCTACACGAGGCACAGAACCCGGCAACCGTGATACTCATCGGGCTGTCCGAAGCGTCATACGAGGCGGGACAAAGCCTTGTACACTTATGTACCGAATATTCGCGTGGGCTGGCATTAGATACAGCACATGCATACATCAGAAAAACATGTCTGGAATAAGACGCACTTCATTTCCCGTTTATATCTATGCCTTCACCTGCTCATCTACCTCCACGTGCTCAAATTCGCGTCCCGTAATTATACTCATGCTATCCCGAGCCTCTGTACCGACTCACTTTCGTGAAACACCGAGACGAGGTTATCCGCCAAGATAAGAGCTCCGCCCTGCTGCTTTCATCGTCTCTTGGCTGGAGCTAATCCGGTCGACAAGTCTCCATCGTGATGCCGGCTTACCCGACTAGGCCGTGCCGGCTTCCTGAAGACTTGGACTACGTAACTAGAAGTCTTTTCCTGTACCCAAATCCCCAATCTATGTGGGAGCCAAGGCTGGGGTTGATCGTGCTGGGGAAAGGCGGAGCATGTTCAACCTTGGCTTTGTCGTGCACCTGGCAAAAGTGTCAAACTAGCAGAGGCACATCGTCGTATAAAATGACATCCACTAGCCTTTCTCTCATTCCCTGTTCGACTGTGTTTTGGCCTCTCTTCAAATTTTCAAGATGGATCCTGAAAAGTCGACTGAGAAGCGTTCCGAGCACTCTCCTGACAGTCGCATCGATGACATAGACTTTCACCAGTCCCAAACCATACCCCAACATTTCAACGAGCAACAAGAAGCAGCGAAGAAGCCAGGCTCAGCCTTAGGTTTGTTCTCTAAACTCGGTAACTTACCAGAATGGGACGTTCCTGGACACGGCCGCCTCCAAGGCAAGGCACTCAACAACGCCATCGCTTGGTGCTCGTGTCTCGCCTTCCTCATGTTCGGATATGACCAAGGTGTTTTATCCGGTGTCTTAACTCTCGATGACTTCCAGCGCCACTTCCCTCTCATGACATCCCGTGAGCGCCAGAACAACTTGTGCTGGCTTGATGCACCAACCAACACCATACCCAGCCCGGATATGTGTACGGGAAGCCCGAGTATCCTCTCAGCTGCCGTTGCAGTTTATCAGATTGGATGCTTTTTGGGCGCAGTTCTCATTCTGTTCTACGGCGAGGTCTGGGGCAGGAAGAGTAGTAGCTTTTGGGGAAGTCTCATTATGATCATCGGAACTATACTCCAAGTTGCCCCTGGAGGGGCCAATGGTGGGAATTCTGGAGCCTATGCTTTACTCTGCATTGGACGTGTTGTAGGAGGAATCGGTAATGGCATGGTCACGGCGAGTACGTATTGAGGTTATGATATGTCTTTGTACGAGACTGACATTCATACAGCGATACCCACCTGGCAATCCGAATGCGCGAAACCCGAAAAGCGAGGACGCTTGATCATCACATCTGGAGCGGTTATTGTGGCTGGTGTTATGATCTCATATTGGGTCACCTATGGCTTCTACTTTGTCCCATCAGGCGAGAGCTACAGTTCTGTCCGTTGGAGATTTCCAATCATGTTTCAATCGTTATTCACCATTCTCGTCATGTATGTGCATCTTTCGGCGTCAAATTAAACCATGCTAATGCTCTACCAGGATTGCCCTTCTCTACTTGCCAGACTCGCCACGGTGGCTCGTCATGCGCGGCCGCTACACTGAAGCTCGCGAACTCCTTGCTCGTCTTGCTGACGCACCTGTTGATTCTGAAGAAGTAGAAACGGAGCTTACTAACATCATCGATGCGCTCGAAGCACAGAGCAAGGATGGTCCGTTCAAGATGAGGGAACTCTTACATAACGGTCCGAGTCAGAACCTTAGACGCACTACACTCGGCGTCGTGTCGCAATTCTTCCAGCAAATCAGTGGTATCAATCTCATTGTAAGTACCTATAGGACTTCTATTTTGATTTTTACACTGATTACACCTTTTTAGACATACTATGCCACCTACGTCTTCGAGAACTCCCTGGGCTTTGGCCCAGACATGTCTCGCCTTCTCTCCGCCTGCAACGGAACCGAATACTTTCTCGCCGGTCTAATCGCCATTCCCCTAATTGAACGTGTGGGCCGACGCAAACTCATGCTCTTCGGTGCCCTCGGTCAAATGGCCAGCATGGCCATCATGAGCGGCATGACCTCGACTGCCACACCCGACGAATTCGGCGCCCCAATCTTGGAGCCACGATACGGCATTACAGCCGTCATCTTCATGTTCGGCTTCAACACTTTCTTCGCCATCGGCTGGCTCGGCATGTCGTGGTTGTACCCAGCCGAAATCACCAATCTGCGCACTCGCATCCAGGCAAATGCGTTGTCCACTTGCTCGAATTGGCTCTCTAATTTTCTCATTGTTATGATCACGCCTCCGGCTTTTGCCAACCTGTCGTATAACACGTATACCATGTTTGCTGTGTTCAATGCGGCGATCGTGCCTAGTGTTTACTTCTTTTTTCCTGAGCCAAAGGGACGTAGTTTGGAGGAGCTGGATGTCATTTTTGCGAGTGCGAATCAGATGGGGGTTAGTCCTGTGAAGAGGGCTAGGGAAATGGAGAAGCTGGTGGGGAGGGAGTTGGATGAAGAGATTGCGAGGTTTTTTGGGGGTGATGTGGAGGAGATTAGGCGGAGAAGGAGCAGAGCCTGAGTGATGTGATGGATTGGGATTTTCGATGTTGAGGAAGGCGTGTTGGTAGACTATCATGATTTTAACGTGTTCTTGGGTGGTACTTCTTTTCTCATGCACTTTGCCGGTGTAGTACCTAGCCACCTCGACACGAGTTTCCGGTCAACAGCCAGATTGTACCGAGACGGCTTAAGTTGAGAACATCAGACCCATGCAGTACGAGCTGTACTGCAAATCCAATAACGCCCTGTTGCGATAATCGATAGACGGTGACCTGCCGACTGCAGCTAGCGTTACACCAGCAATATCGATGTCGCGTGGGGCTGGCGGCCTCTTCTCCGCTTTTGCAACGGTCCAACACGCCACAACACTCTCAACTGTGCCCCAACCTCCAGGATGAGGCTACAACTATGACGTTGATAAGCTTTCCCCGGCTCACCGAACGACTTGGCAAGAGGCCTTGTTCCGCCACTGCGCATAGCGAGCTTCTTGTTTGGGTAAGGTGCGTGATTTGATGTGCGTAGACTACCCTGACCTCGTTGGACAATGTTGGAGAAAAACACACGAATCGTCACTCTCTTTCATCGATGGAAAACACGCCTTAGACAGTAGTTTCGATGGTTGAAAAATTGCGGCACAGTTTGCATCTTCGGCTCTGTTCTGTTTGTCCTGAGCTATAGTTAGTGACCGGGGGCACAAAATCCAAACGCGGCAACTGAGTAGTCAGTATTTCCGAAAGCTCCTAGTATTGTTGCCTTAACGCATAACTCGCAGGATCTTCATACTCGTGTTATCCGGCCAATCGCAATGACCAGTCTTACTTTGCAGTTGCCTGATTCGGATTAATCTACTGTACGGCTACCCACAGATCGCATTTGACTCCCATGGAGTTTGCCTGCGATGCAGTGCTCAACAACGGCAGGCGGAAAGAAATGTACATAGCAAGATCATTCAATGTCATTAAACGGCTTAGCCCCGTACGGATTCAGCGTATTTAAGAAGGCCGAGAGAAGCGGCCTTCTCGGCAAGCCCACTGCTCAAGCCTTGGTCATTCTTCTTCACGACAAGCTTTTCACCATGGCGCGCTTCACCCATATCGCTGCCGTCTTGGCAGCAGCGACGCTCAGTCATGCTCGCAAGCCATTCATCACTGAGCGTCAGGTCCCTGCTGACCCCACTGGCGTCACAACCATCAAGTCTGCCCAGGGTGCCGAGATTCGCTACAAGCAGCCCGGAAAGGCGGGAGTTTGTGAGACTACTGAAGGTGTCGACGATTATGCCGGCTACATCAGTCTCAATCCTACTACTAACATGTTCTTCTGGTTCTTCGAGGCGCGTGAAAACCCTTCCGAAAAGCCGTTGGTAAGTAAAGCCCATATTTCAACTCAAAATTCGGTGGCAGACTTTGACTTTGTCTCCAGACACTTTGGTTGAACGGTGGACCAGGAAGTGACTCGCTCATCGGTCTCTTTCAAGAACATGGCCCTTGCAATGTTACTGAGGATTTGAAGACACAATTGAATCCTTATTCATGGAATGAGCACAGCAACATGCTCTACCTCTCGCAGCCCGTTGGTGTAGGGTTTTCCTACGAGACCACAGAAACCGATGCCGACGGTCGATACTCGCTTGTTGATCCTGATACCACAAACACTACCGATGCTGCAGCCATTGGAGCGTGGCACATTCTCCAGGCTTTCTTGGACCTAAGCCCCCAGCTCGACCCAGATATTACTAACTTTACATTCAATCTGTGGACTGAGAGGTTAGTAAATCAGCGACAAGACTAGATAACGTATTACTAATTAGTTTCTAGCTACGGAGGTCACTATGGACCTGGTTTCTACAACTACTTCTACCAGCAAAATGAGAAGATCAAGAACGGTTCTTCCCCTGGTGTTGAGATTCGCATGGACACTCTCGGTATAATCAACGGAATTGTCGATGAGCAGATCCAGGCCCCTTACTACCCCGAGTTCGCTGTCAACAACACTTATGGTATCAAATCAGTCAATGACACGGTTTACACCTTCATGAAGAACGCCTACTACATGCCAGAAGGCTGCCACGACCAAATCGAATACTGCAAGCAATCCGACCGCACCACCCCAGACGGCTATCTGACATGTTCATCCGCAACCAACCTCTGCCGATCGCTCGTCGAAGAGCCATATTACGCATTTGGCGGCCGAGGTGTCTACGACATCCGACACCCCTACGACGACCCCACGCCCCCCGACTACTTCCAATCCTTCCTGAACCTCGCTTCAACCCAAGAGGCCATCGGCGTAAACATCAACTACACCAGCACCAACGCCCGCAACGTATCCCGCGGCTTCAGCCGCACCGGTGACTTCGTCTTCCCCAACTTCCTCGAGGACCTCGAAGAAATCCTCGCCTACGGCGTCCGCGTCGCCCTCCTCTACGGTGACGCAGACTACATCTGCAACTGGTTCGGCGGCGAAGCCGTATCCCTCGCCGTCAACTTCACTCATGCCGAGGACTTCCGCGCCGCTGGCTACACACCCTTTCTCGTCGACGGCGTCGAGTACGGCGAGGTGCGCGAGTTTGGCAATTTTAGTTTCACGAGGATCTATGAGGCTGGGCATGAGGTCCCGTATTATCAGCCTGAAGCTAGCTTAGAGCATTTTAGGCGGGTATTGGATCATGTGGTTATTGCAGATGGGACGCAGGTGGTTACGAGCGATTATAAGACGAATGGGACGGCGAAGGCGACGCATACGGAGGAGTTCGTCCCGTTGCCGCCTACGAGTACGCCGAGTGCTATTAGGAGAATGAGGAGGGGGTCGGTGTAGGTTTTGGTCGTGAGGGGTGAGAGAGGTGACAGAGGTTAAGAGTGTTGGACGGAGAATTGGTATACCGCGTTAATGACACAATGAAATAAGCGAATTATTGTCTTGGAAGAAACATCATTTAGATGCTGTTGTGAGGCATCTGAATGAGTGAGCCTGACCCTTTACTATTTAAACGGTTTTCCCCTTTAGTGTATATCTTCTTTTTTGTAAACGTCTTTGGGCTTTCTTTTCTACCAAAGGCCGTGCATTATCTGCTGTTATAGCGACATTAGTTGCATCAAATCTACATTTGAAACGCAGGTTCTTTGGTACTGTGTCTGTTCTACAATGTTGTTAGCCCAGTTCTAGAGGTGCTGAAATAAAATCTGGCTTTTTTTGTCAAGTTAAGCAGGCGGAGAACAAAAATGGTGGAAGTGAGATCAGCACCCCTAGAATCTTCTCTTCCCCTTCTCACTGCACTGCTGACGAAATCATCTGGGGATCGTTATTTCCCAGGGCCCTAGTTCCGGTTATAAGTAAGCGATGCGCCTTTGCGATATCCTAGGCACTAATTCTTTACAGAAACGAAACTAAACCGCGCTTCTAAAGATTGTTTAAAGAAACCTTGTCACGTTGTTACATCAAGTTCGTCTGCTCTCCCTTCCTAAGATTATCTGTTGCTAACATACATATTACATGTACTTTTTATTATTACAATGCGTCCAATTGTTTCCCTTCTGATGCCAGATATCACAGCCCTATATCGAGTACATCTACATGGGTAACCTTCCTTCGGAAATGCGGGGTACGTAGAATAACTTTCGCTGTCTGACCTTATGTAACAACTGCGAACAATAAGCAGCAGATCGATACGACAATCACCCGATGCTTTAGTACTAGCGTTTACACGTAATGACATGTACACTTAGGACCCCTTTTCCAATGCAAGCAGGCTCTTTGGAAAACCGAAACAGCCGGATACAAACTTCGTTCAACATCAGCCCAAATCACAGCAAGAGTCACTCCAAACAGCGTTACAAAATCTACAAAAGCTCCACAAGTATTACTAACTATATTGAATACTCTTCATTTGTTTACATTCTATAGCTAAGCAGTGCGTGGTATTGGCTTTGTTAAGTAGTTACACTCTGGTGTCATCCAGCTATTCCAGTTCCCCAAGAGTAGGCCTGCCTTAACAATGTCAGCCTGCTTAGTGAGTGCTGCGGCAAATGGTCTCCTCAACCCTAGAGTTTCAAGGCCTGAGAACATGTATATACAACGGTACACGCTGTATCAGCACTATATCTAAAAGAGATCACTTTGGCAGGGCAAAAATTCGTATTGCTGAGTATCTACAATTCTCCAACTTATTTCCGTGAAGGGCCGTTCAACATAAGCTGCTAGAGCTTACAAAAGGGCCATATCTGATTGAATACAAATTTCTCCAGTTGCCTTTATTGTACAGCCCACATAGTTTTGAACTATTGACGCTCTTTACCCTGCACTCGTTTTGTGTGCTTTCGCTTTTTCTTACTTAGTCTCTTACTTTTTTTCCACTACTGATCATCATGGGTTGGAAATCATACCTTTTACCACTGTTGCTGGAAGCTGTAGCTGGATCAAAACAGCAGCAGGTTGTCCCAGGCGCTTTCATTGTTGAATTCCAAGAGACCGGTCTCGAGGTAACGGCTTACCAAAAATAAATGAATTGTGCTAAATATTCGAAGTTACTTTGATCGGCCATCGAGATTCTTGACGTCGTCAAGATACAGGACTTGGACTACGATCTGTTCAAGGGCGCTGCTGTTCTGTTCAAGAACGAGAAATCCCCCGATGAACACATGTCTTTATTGCTTTTGAATCCAGCCATCAAAAACGTCTGGCCAAAGACTCTTTTGTCTACACCTAACCTACAGGTTGGAGGGGTTGGATCGCCTGGGTCAACAGGCTCATCCCATCTGGTGGCTAGAGATTTCCAAGGCAATCAAACATACTCGCCCCACGTTATGACCAAAGTCGACAAGTTACACGCAAAGGGCATCACTGGCAATGGAGTTAAGATCGCAATTGTTGATTCTGATGTAGGTATCATACTCGGTCAATATATAACTGCTAACCTTAACCAAAATTGATCACACCCACCCAGCACTCGATGGATGCCTTGGACCCGATTGCTTGATTGTTAGCGGTCATGATTTCGTTGGTGACGCGTATAATGGATCCACTACCCTATTCCTGATGATGATCCAATGGATTGCATGGTATATGCCCTTTCCTATAGCGCTGCATACATAAGCTGAACATAAATCAGGGACATGGTACGCACGTGGCTGGTATCATTGCTGCCTAACAAAATGAATACGGCTTTATAGGGGCTGTACCTGTAAGAGCTTCTGAAAGAGCTGTAAACTAGCTCTAATGTATCTTTCTTAGGACGGTAAAATAGCAGCCTACAAGGTAGCAGGTTGCATTGGTCTAATTGATAATTCCGTCATTGCAGCTGGGCTCCTGCGCGCACAGCAAGAGGGGGCTCATATCATTACTCTCTTTCTTATTTTCTCTGACGGATGGAACGAAAGTTTTCTTGACGTTATTGCTGCCCGGATTGTTGCCAAGGGAGTTATTGTTACCGTTGCTGCCAGGAACTCTGGTGATCAAGGATTGTTTTACATCAGTGGCCCAGATGGAGGAAATGGTGTCGCTGCTATTGCTTCTTATGAAAACACTGTAGCACCTTTGCTATTAACGCAGTCCTCTTACTAGGTTTCAAACAACATGAAACATAGCTTCAAATGGGCCAGAGGCAACCCAGGCAATTGGATAAACGCCGGTGTACTGCCACTCTGGACTCCATCATTCAACACCAATTAGACTGCGGATGATTGCGGACCTATTTCCGGTAACACGGCGGACCTTTCTGGCAAAGTTGTTCTTATCTCTTTGGGATACATTGAGGAGCATCTGCAAAGCGCGTTGGACCTCGGGGCCCATTACATCATGATTTCGACCAAGTCTAATGCTAATGAAAGGAACTTCAACCTTGAGCTATCTCCAGGCTTCCTAGGTGTTGGTGTGATCTCTCACACGCTAGGCACCAAGTGGCTCGCAGCTCTGGCTACCGGAAAGGTTGTCACGTTGGATTTCACCGGTATTGCCACCAGCCTAGTCACGCGTGAACAGTCACCTAACAACAGTACTGGCGGACTTCTTTTGAGGGCAATCTAGAGCCTTCATTTAGTGCCCCGGGTGGGAGGATCCTGTCAACGTTCCCTATTGCTTTAGGTTCTTACGCTATACTCTCTGGTACTTCCATGTCCTGCCCGCTTAGGGCATGTTCAGATGGAATGCTGGGAGTGGCTGAGATCTATGGCTTGGTGTTCTATATGAGGTTTATCAATTCAATCAAGTGAGAACTTCAGGATGATCGGATACGATGTTGAGGGTGGTTGAGATATGTGCCCTATCCTTGTTGCAGGCTTCGCTGGTGGACGCCTTCTGACACTGCCAATGATGACTTTACCCGATCGGCTACCGAGGTGCTTGGCAGCGGCCTTCTACCTAGGCAAGGCGCACTCACCCCTCCATATTTGATATCCTCGCATACGACGGGTTGTGCAATTTCGAAGCATGGCGCAGATCATGCTGGGCATCGGCCCCCACTGGCGGCCTGATTTACATATAGCGGAAGTTGACTCGAATAACTTTCGCCTTAGTATTCACCTACCCCAGACATCCCGACCGTAGTCAGACGTCCATAATGAAATTGGTCTTACTCTGCGTCACAAAGTGGTAATGTACGAATCGCTACATCACGCGACTGATGGCGGTAGAATTTCTAACGACATGGAGCTACTCCAGCTTCATGGGCATCGGTAAGGCTTTGAATGCTGCCTCAGTCCCAGCGCTCTCTAAACATCAGTTCAGACAAGGGGCTTCAAGTATCCGAACCAGCGATGACTATACTATTGAAAGTCAACGCAGCCCGTCTTTCGTAAAGCTACTCCGTTCTGCGAAGACCACCAAACAACTATCAGACGTCAGCGGCCATCTCCTTCCTCAAGGACACAGCAGTCGTCATGAAAAGCTACCCAAAAAGAGATTTCTCCCCTCTGGATGGCGAACTGGCGCACTCGTCTCATTGATCGGAGCCGTCGTCGTCTTCGTCTTCAACCTCGGCATCACCATCTGGGTTTGGGCAAATCCTAGCTTTCAGGCTAATGGTGCTGTCGGCACAATGTATCGCGGAAACTGTGCGGTTGTCAGAAACATGAATGTCAAAATACACCTGCTTGTCAATGTAAGCTATCTGTTCGCATCTGAGACTATCTTGCTTACGACGCAGCAAGGTTCTCAGTACCATGCTGCTGTGCGGTAGCAACTACGTTATGCAAGTACTCGCAGCCCCGAACAGAGAAGAGGTCGATCGCGCCCACGCTCAGCGCCGTTGGCTGCATATTGGTGTCCCGAATTTACGCAATTTGCGGTATACCCGGCGAGAACGCGTCATCATCTATATGTTTCTGTTTCTATCATCAGTACCATTACACCTCTTATTCAACTCGGTCGTTTTTACACAGCTCCAGGCAAATGAATATTTTGTTTTACCTACCATGGTGGATTGGATTCAAGGGAGAGAATATAATTTTGACAATTTCGACAACTTCACGGACATCGAAAGTTTGCGGAACAAAACTTGGATAAGAGATTTCGAGCCGTATCGCATCGAGATTGACGACACCGTAAAATTGAGCAATGGGACTACTGTACCCATGTATCAGAACATGACTGCAGCGGAGTGTTTCAGCAAGTACGGTAGTCACTACGTTTCAGACGTTGGTAATATCTACCTGATCCAAGCGCAACCAACAGTATGGAGAAACCCCGAGAAATGGGAACTCCGCCGATTAGAACTGGGAGGTTTTGAATGGGCGCAGATCACAAATGATTCAACGCTCATGGACAACGAGAATGACAGTTACCAACGAGTGGATTTTAACGCTACCCTCCCCTTTCCAAGCTCACCGCGCAGATACCCATCTAATGTATGGCGATGTCAGTCACACTCATCAACAGGATGTAAGCAATGCCAGATGTACATATGAAGCTAGTACTGATGCTAACCAAACTGCAATAATCAGGCGATCCGGGTGACGAAAGCGAGATCCCACGGGATAGATCGCAATGGAAGCCGTACGGAAGCGATCTATCATACTGTCTAGTTGAACAGGTCGAAGAGTTCTGCGAGTTACAATTCAGCTTTGTGATTGCGATTCTGGTTATCATAGCCAACTTGGTCAAAGCCACTTGTATAGCTATTACCCTCTGGAAATGCGGAGGTCATGCCGCATTCGTAACCATTGGGGATGCCATTGCCAGTTTTCTTGACAACCCGGACCCCTCGACGAGCGGACGCTGTCTGCAAACCCGGCGCCATGTGGAGTTGTGGTGGAATTGGAACCAATGGGCCATGGACAACCATAATATTGCAATGAATAGAGATCGCAGAAGGTTCAGGCCAAGAAGACGTACATGGGCAATGGCGCCTAGTGAAAGGAGATGGGTTGCTACGTACTGGTCGTAAGTCAACTCTTCGCCCTCTTGAAACAAACAAACTCATCGTATTCCCGCTACAGTTACAGCGCCTTGTTCGTAGCTGGCATTCCCCTAGCAGTTCTAGCATTGAGAAACATGCCACGGGACCCTAAAAGATTGTGGGAAACTGGGTTTGGCACCATCCAGGGCAACAACCTACTCAACTTTGACACATCGCTCATGGGCGGCGTACTCCTAGCCAATACGCCCCAAGCGCTCCTTTCCTACATGTATCTCGCTTTCAACGCGCTCTACACAACCATGTTCATCTCGTCGGAATGGGCGAGTTACAGCGTTGAGCGTAAGCCTTTGCGCGTCACATCGCCTGTAGGCCAGCAGCGCCATACGTACTGGCTCGGTGTGCCGTACCGCTACGCAATACCAGTGACACTGTTGTCTGGCCTCTTCCACTGGCTCGCCTCGCAAAGTCTGTTCAAGGTACAGATCTCCGTTACCGAAATGTACACACGGCGAGTCAAAGACCAGATCTCGACATGTGGTTACTCGCCCGTTCCTATCATACTGACAATGGTTGTTGCGACTGTTATTGCAGCAACTGGCATTGCTATTAGTAGGATACGTTTCCCGTCAGGTATTCCCCTGGCAGCTAGCAACTCAGCGGCTATCAGTGCTGCGTGTCATCCGCCAAAGGAAGATGGCGACGCCAGTGTCCTGCCAGTACAATGGGGTGCGGTTAGTCATGGAAATGATGGGGAATTTAATAGAGATGAGCATATCGGGCATTGTTGTTTCACCAGTTTTCCGGTTGAGTCTCCGATTGAGGGGCATTTGTACCAATAGTGGATCACTTCCACCTTCATCCAGAACCGACATTAATATAATGTCCCTCCCTGCGTCACGCAGATCCCTACGTGCCGCAAGAAAAGAGGGGTACTTTATCCTCGGGACACGACATCTCTATTCACGCGTTGTTTTTATACTCTCGTGATAGATTGGTCACGTTTTTTACCTTCTTCTGTAGGTGTAGACACCTCTCCTTACGGAAATTACGCTATTGTTGTTAAATCCACGCTGATACGCAAAAGACACCTTTTCTAGAGCAAAATAGTGACACCGCTGCAGATAGCCTCCATCTCGCTCTATTGCACCCCCCATACTAAGGAATGAAGTTGTATGCATTGAGGAAACCTTCAGCCATGCTGTAGAGCCAATCCTAACCCTCGGTGCGGCGTGGCGCTCATATTTATGCATGATCGCCACCCCTGTCGGTACTTCTCTAGCGAGCAGCTTCCGCATATGGCTAGTATGGAACTGTTTACGGCGTAATTTTCACCGCGCCAAGCCTGTGGCTCCAAAGTCCTGTGGCTGCATAAGCTCTGTAACCCTGTCAGCAAGTTGAAGATCACGTAGTAACTAATCAGCTTTGGCTTTATAATCACAATCTCTCTTGTAAGGTGCGTCCCTAGATAGCGAGACGCCTGTGTAACGAGACGCTTGTTCTTCCGGAGCTTTAGTGTCAGAATAACGCAAGTAGATAGAGTTGAGCTTAATGCACATCAATTCTGTAGCTGCTGCTATCCTAGCACGTTGGCCTCCGACACTGAAAAGCGCGTTGTTAACCGTGTTGTCACTCGTTCTATCAAGGCTGCCTCCTAGCTCTCCTCTGACCCCCCCTGTTTTTTTCGCGGTAGTATAGATCTGAGAAAAGCTCGGTAGGCTAGAAAGGAAGCAAAGACAGCAAAGATTGAGATCGCAGCCTTAAAAAGTCGATTTAGGGCAATACGTATATATCCTGGTAGTTTCTCCGCGTAGACGGCGAGGTCGTCGGAACGCATCCTACTGACGTGCGCTGCTCGTAGCGTTGAGCATACAGTAGCTCAGTAGTGTGCTGAGATATCTACGCTAGAGAGCTAGTTACTGAAATCATATCATTCCACTCGTACATATCAAAATTTCTGTTTCCAGCAGCTCTTAACTTGCTACGATAGCTTTTGTGTGTGACTCTACTTATAGCCTCATATCTCAACAGGCTTTTGTCCTAGTGGGCTGTGCATTGCATGCACGGACATGGTACTAGTATGACCCATAGGACGCTTTATTGCCGGCTATAGATCGCATCATCCTAGAGCAGTCAACATTAGCGCCATTGACCGTCACTCTCACTCCCTGGATCATTTTGTTCACTATCTTCTGAACTCCCACTCTCGTCATATTCCGAGCTCACTTCCTCACTGTCATCTGGGCTTGTTCTGTTGTCCTCGTCATATTCCGAGCTCACTCCCTCACTGTCATCTGGGCTCGTTCTGTTGTCCTCGTTATCGTCCGACTCATCGAGTTCACCTGTGCTGTGTAACAGCCTTGCCCGCTTATTACTTCTGTAAGTACTGTCATCTTCGAGATGACGCTTGATTGCTGCCTGTGTAATGGCCTTGTCTACCGTGAGCGCCTTCTCTACCTGGGCTGGCGGTATTGCTGACAGCACCTCCTTCGCCCACGCCGCCGCCGTGCCCGCCGCATACGCCTGCCACAGTTTGTTCTTGTGAGAGTCGGCGTAGTCGCAGATGCCACGCACCACGAGGCATGGGAAGCTGTTCATCAGGCCTGCGGCCTCCATCTCGAAGCAGAGCACGCCTTTGAGGTCGGCGCTGACTCTATCGCGTTGGGCGGCGTTTCGCATCACCTGGTTTCCTGATGCGATCGTTCCGTAGTGAGTTACTACTAGTTCTCCATCATCCCGCGGTTCTCGGTCTTTTTGCCTATTGGTGTTACACTTGCTGCACGTCTCTTCGCCCTCGTGGTCGTATGCGGCTTCGAAGAGGATGTCGGGTCCTGTCTTACAGCGCTGGAACTTGGAGATGCGCTCGAGCTTAGACACGTGCTCAGCTAGCTTACTCTGACCTCGAAGCTCCTTAGCTTGCACTTGCCTCACCGCGGAAAGCAGCATCAGCGGCGGCGAGTTGAGCGACCCTGTCCGCTCGAACCCGCTCGGCTTTGCCTTCCCTATATCGTACTGCACCACCCCGCCGAAGGTCTTGTCGGGCTGACTGACCACCACGTCTCCTAGCCGGATGTCTACCCCTTTGCTAGGTACTCCCCCACCGATACCCACCATCAGCCCGAACCGGATGCGCTTAAAGGTTGCCCGCATCTGCGCCGCCACGGCTGCCGCCGGGTTGTTGCCGATGCAGCCGGCGGGTAGGCACACGATGGCTACGTTGTGCCCGCCTATCGACCCTAGGGCGTACAAGTTCTCATCGTTATCAATAGGGTCGCGCTCGAGATTTTCGTGTTCCTCGTCGAGCATCTCCTGGGCGGCAACCAACTCGATGGGCAGCGCGCACACCCATCCCACTGTGTAGTCTTCGCGGCGCAGCTGGCGCGCCATGGGCGGTCGTGAGAGAGAGGAAGAAGTAGTAGAAAAAGAAGACGGGTTATGAATGAGCGATATGACGCGAGATATAGAGAGGTGAAGAACTGAAGGAATGAGATGGTGTTGGGCAGCCTGAAAGTTATGTTGGTTGCCGCTCAGCCTGCTTCCACTCAGCCTTGTTATTTACCCTACAGCCACCCGCCAGCTGCCACGGCCTACGAGGTGTGGATGCTGCAGCCCGTCGCACAGTCGCAAGCGCCAGCGCCAGCCGCAGCCATAGCTACCGGCCTGGCAGTAGATCTTGCTAGGAGCTGGTTTTATACAAACGGACGCCAGCGGGGCGTTAATTGATTGCGCGCCTGTAGATCTGGAATAGGAACTGGCGAAATGCTCGAAGCCAAGGTTTCTAGCCAGTGTGTAGTGCGGCATGCAAACATCTGAGCACGCTACTGCGACCTGTTACATACTAGGAGTCACTATTAAACGCGCCCCCATTTAGACACGATTTAACCATAGTTACTGCTCTCTACGCGAAGGAAATACTAAGTTGCACGCTCCTTACTTAAATGTAACACTTCAACGTTATGTATGATTATAGCCTCTGCTAGTTATCTTATCTCTCTTTAAATTCTATTAAGTTCTTCATAGATAACTATGTATTGTTGCAAACGAGCAAGGGGATGTTAGAGGAGAGTCATTAGACAGAAGTAACGGAATGAACATCAGCATAGTTGATAGCACATTCATAGCGCCGGAGGCCGATATACTAGGAGAACAGCAGCTAAAAAATTCGCGCGCGTTGAGCTCAACCCTACATAGTAATGCTGGCGTGATACCGACGGTCCAGTAGGAAAAGTGTCTCGCGATACGGGGTGTCTCATCACCTAGGGACGCACCTTACTTATTACAATAAAACCTCATCAGCCTAATATCATAGCCCTGACTTCGTAACTACTAATGTATTAATACATTTTTGCAACAGGTAACTACATGACCACTATTTATATCACGTTAGGCAGCCTACACTATAACTATTTATATTAAAGCGAATCTGTAAAACTATGGTACTAGAGAATCCTAAGCAAAACTACACGGCCAGATATAAGCCCCAGACAAGCTACTTCCTCGTGTACTGTGGTTGAGTTTGATCGATACTCTGGTGGAAGCCAGAGGAAGCGCTGCTGATTGTGCAATATCCACTGGTTCTGTACCAGAACGTACGAGGACTGCGGCCTCTGCCTCAAGAGCGATGTGCCAACTTGGGCTTGAGGCAAAGCAATATCACCTCGGCTCGTGTGAAGTACCTGGCTATCTAGCGAGAAACCGATATACGAAATGTACTCGGAAGGGCTATCTAGCGTGCTAAGACACGTCCCTGTCGCCGCCTCCCACAGCCGTACTGTCTTGTCCCAAGATGCCGATGCGACTAGCTGCCCGTCTGGCGAAAAGGCTATCGCGCTGACATAGTCGGAATGGCCCTCGAGCGTGCCGCGACACGTCCCTGTCGCCGCCTCCCACAGCCGTACTGTCTTATCCCCAGATGCCGACGCGACTAGCTGCCCGTCTGGCGAGAAGGCCACCGCGGTGACCTCCCTGGAATGGCCCTCGAGCGTGCTGCGACACTTCCCTGTCGCCGCCTCCCACAGCCGTACTGTCTTATCCCCAGATGCCGACGCGACCAGCTGCCTATCTGGCGAGAAGGCTATCGCGCTGACATAGTCGGAATGGCCCTCGAGCGTGCTGCGACA